CGACATAAGAGCGCAGCCAATTAAAAAAAACACATGTTGTACGCTAAACGAATATGACATGGTTAACACTTGTTTTAATTAAACAATCGGAGGTACGATAAAACGACGTGTTTATTTATATATTATGGTTATGAATGCAGCTTGAAAATATTTCTAACCCAAGTAACATGGAGAAGATCGAATCACAGAAATGGAAGGTTATTATATTGGTCGAAGGCTACAGACGTCGAATGATAGCGAAGATGCTGCTTGCCTTTAGTTTTGTTCCTGTAAATGATGTATGTACTGCATTCGAGCATTGGTAGAAGCTAGCCCTGCAGAAATTATGCCACTGGTAGATTATTGGGAGGCAAAGGAGAAACCGTCGAGGTGACCCGCGCTTCGCTCTTGCTATTTGGAATGTCTATAATCGTGTCGCTGAAAATCTACCCCGTACAAACAACTAAGTCGGGGCATAGCATCGTGCATTCCAACAAACGGTAGATTGCAATCATCCTTCCGTTTTTAAATTGATCAACCAGTTTCGTCTGGTACAAGATCACATCGAAATCTAACTGGAACGTCATCTAGCTGGAGTTAATCTACCAGAAGCTTCAAAGAAAAAATATGTTCAGCTGAACCGAAGATTGCAGGCAATTGCTTCAACCTATGCTAATGATTCAATGATGGACTACCTACGAGGTATAGCCCACAACTTAGCAATATAAATGCAATTATAAAGAAACTTTTTATTAATTTGAACTTACTTTCATTTTGTTACATTTCATTTCAGTTTATATTTTCTCACTTTAGGCCTAACATTTAAAATCTTTGTAGGTGTTATTAGATTGCGTTTTGAATAATTGGACGTCACTATGATTATATCTGTGTTTTTTTTTAGATAAAGAAACTGAACAATTAGTTTTTTAATGTAACAATAAAGAGTTAACATCAAACGATGCCTTCTGATCTGAGTTAATTTTCTTGTTCCTATTTATTAAATATGGTTTTTCGATCTTTAGTTTGCGCTCTTATGTCGGCGCTCTTTTGTCGGGAAATTAGTGCGCTCTTATGTCGGCGCTCTTTTGTCTGCGCTCTTATGTCGGCGCTCTTTTGACGGGGTGCCATTCTCGCCCCTCCCCCGTCTGAACGAAATATAATTCATTTACAAAATATACCTGTATCAACTTTAACCAGTTCTGCCCGCCTCCCAACCCCCCCCCCCCCCCCCCCCATTGTTAAGAGAAAATGTCTGAAAGAACCACGGTGCATCTGCTAAGTGTATGTCTCTCAGCTGATTTCTCAAATTCATTCAAGTTTCTTACATTCATTCATGCAAACATAAGATTAAAAGATTTTAAAAAGTTGAATGGCATGTTTAAAAACCATTGGGTAGGCTTACTTATAAAAAGTGATTTTTCAAATTATTGCTTCATTTTTTTTTACATAAGATTGTCTTGATCACCTCCAACGTAAAATCCCAAAGTCTACGTACGTTAGAAAAGTGAGAAAACTACAATAACAGCGCTAGTAGAATTGAGAAAGTCTAAAAACTATAATAACAGCGTTAGTAGAATTGAGAAAGTCTGAAAATAACAGCGTTAGTAGAATTGAGAAAGTCTGAAAACTATAATACCAGCGCTAGTAGAATTGAGAAAGTCTAAAAACTATAATAACAGCGTTAGTAGAATTGAGAAAGTCTGAAAATAACAGCATTAGTAGAATTGAGAAAGTCTGAAAACTATAATACCAGCGCAAGTAGAATTGAGAAAGTCTGAAAACTATAATAACAGCGTTAGTAGAATTGAGAAAGTCTGAAAATAACAGCATTAGTAGAATTGAGAAAGTCTGAAAACTATAATACCAGCGCTAGTAGAATTGAGAAAGTGAAAACTATAATACCAGCGCTAGTAGAATTGAGTAAGTCTGAAAACTATAATAACAAAGTTAGTAGAATTGAGAAAGTCTGAAAATATACAAAAACACAGCGCTAGCAAAATTGAGACACTGCGGTGGGGAGGGGGGGGGGGGTGTTGAGAGGGTCACATGACCTAGAACTGGGGTGTGGTGTGGCTTGGTGTGATTGCTTTATGGGCTGGTTGGTTCCTGCAGTTGGGGAAGGCGGGCTGGGCGTGTCTACATATTTTAACAGAATGTTTAGTATGGAGGATCTCCTCAACACGATCTATATTTTAACAGAATGTTTTGTATGGAGAATCTCCTCAACACGATCTATATTTTAACAGAATGTTTTGTATGGAGTATCTCAACACGATCTATATTTTAACAGAATGTTTTGTATGGAGAATCTCCTCAACACGATCTATATTTTAACATAATGTTTAGTATGGAGGATCTCCTCAACACGATCTATATTTTAACAGAATGTTTTGTATGGAGGATCTCCTCAACACGATCTATATTTTAACAGAATGTTTTGTATGGAGGATCTCCTCAACACGATCTATATTTTAACAGAATGTTTTGTATGGAGGATCTCCTCAACACGATCTATATTTTAACAGAATGTTTTGTATGGAGGATCTCCTCAACACGATCTATATTTTAACAGAATGTTTTGTATGGAGAATCTCCTCAACACGATCTATATTTTAACAGAATGTTTTGTATGGAGAATCTCCTCAACACGATCTATATTTTAACAGAATGTTTTGTATGGAGTATCTCAACACGATCTATATTTTAACAGAATGTTTTGTATGGAGGATCTCCTCAACACGATCTATATTTTAACAGAATGTTTTGTATGGAGGATCTCCTCAACACGATCTATATTTTAACAGAATGTTTTGTATGGAGGATCTCCTCAACACGATCTATATTTTAACAGAATGTTTTGTATGGAGAATCTCCTCAACCCGATCTATATTTTAACAGAATGTTTTGTATGGAGGATCTCCTCAACACGATCTATATTTTAACAGAATGTTTTGTATGGAGGATCTCCTCAACACGATCTATATTTTAACAGAATGTTTTGTATGGAGGATCGCCTCAATACGATCTAAAGCTAAACAAATGGCATGCTTATTTTTTCCGAGTTTATCTTATAGAATATGGGACGGTAGAGAGCTAGACTGCTAACCCTGTTAAGTCGAATCCGGGTTCAAGTCAGTAGACTGTCAATGAGTCGAACCAGCTCTAATGGGTACCTAACTCACGTATCCACACTATCCCTTCATATGCCGAGGTCACAGAAACAGGTGAACTCTACTTGCCCCATAGACCGCCAGGTTTGGAAGGGGAACTTTACTGTATTATAGGATATCAGAAACACTTGAAAAATGCTTAAAACATATATAACCTGCTTTGATGGTAGAACTAGCGGGATTGATTTTTGCAAAAGGTAAACGGTTAAGATATCCTAGTAGTTATAAATCATTGACAGAAGAAAAAATAAAATAGCTTCGCTTCTGTGGTTACAGACAATAATATGCAATGTGTCGGACATTTCGAATGTTAAGTTTGTTTTAAATGATTAACTTTTACACAATTTATAGATTCCTGAATGCCAAAGCGGAAGTTAAAGGATTGATGAATAAGCTAAATACTAAGTTATAGTAGATTGAAATAAAGCATCTAAAAATTTTAAATCAATATTTTTTGCATTTAACATATTACTCAGCTTACTAAATTATATCCTCTTACAAAGCTACCATTCTATTTTCTAAATCCGTATTTATCAATTAGGGTCATATCTCCAGCAGTTACTGTAACGCCAACACATTTTTGGGGGGCTTCAAACCCAATGCTGTAAACCAGAGGCGTAGCGAGGGGAACGGGACGGACATATGTCCCCGGGCGCCGACCTTAGGGGGCGCCAAAATGGGTTGGAAAAATAAATTGAAAGGTTGAGGGGGGTGGGGGGTGCAAATCGAAATCTTGATGGGGGGGGGGAGGGAGGGGGGGGGGGGTGAGAAGTGTCGTTACGCCTCTGCTGTAAACACTGTTAATTAATGTTTTATTAAATTTTAAAAGGCTATGCTAGAAATAGTAGAAAGATAAACAAAATCAAAAGGGAGGTAATTTAATGTGCATTAAGAATGGCTTACAAGCAAAATTTTTTTTTAAACCAACACAATTCAAAAGCAGTCTTCCAAACCAATTCATTAAAAATGTGAGCTCATAGAACATTTGTATAAAGTCAGTAAAAATATTACATCAGTAGGGAACAAGTTAGCATGATGATATGTACATTGTGAGGCATTCTTTAATTTTTTGGCCTTATTCCTGACTACACAAAACTAAAACCGCATTTTCAGTAGTACACAGAAATTTGAGTTAACTTATCTACACAACCAAAATATTTAAAAAAGGGAACTTTCCTAAGCAAAATAGCTCACCATCATCATAATTTCTTATTCGTGCCAAAGATACATGAGACAGATGAAGTAGAGTTCATCTGCTTCAGAGACCTCGGCATATGAAGTGATAGTGCAGTAAGCACTATGCCCAGCCGCCTTTGTTTCCCTAACGTGAGTTAGGTACCAATCAGAGCTGGTTGCACTCAGAGACGTTCTATTGACTTGGAACCCGGATTTGAAATCGAGGCTATCGAGTTTACAGTCTAGCTCTCTATCGCTAGACCACGCCGTCCCATAATGGCTCGGCATATTTGGCTAATAAGTTTTTTAAAGTGAAGCCTAGCATTGAAGCAAAACCAGTTTTTATGGGGATGTAACATATAATGAAAAGATTTGTATCAAGTTTTTCATAATCTTGGACATAGACCAGCATAGATTGAGGTGGAACTCATTTAGTATGGATACAGCAGGGATAAAAATGTGTGAGAAACTATGTTTTGTATATTCTTTAAACATCACAATTTATTTTTGAAAGTTATATTTTAATCTAATCTGGGTTATTAAAAAAGAAATCTAAAGGTAATATGACTGCAGAGAATCAAAATCATTGACAAAACTTTGTTAAAAATTAAAAATCAAAAGCATTTAAAAAAAAAATATTTTTTTTTTTAACAGTTAAAATAGGATTATATAAAGGATCATTAAAAAAAACTAATATAATACATATTTGTATGAAAAGTCTAGTCACCTACACATTTTTTAGAAGAGATTTAGCTCACAAATTGTTCTTTCATTACCAATATTTTCCAGAATAGTTTTTAATAAATAAGCAAATGAAACAAATATGTACATAAAAAAAGAAAGCACAAGATCAAGCCTCTAGAGTTATTAATAGTTTTAATTTGTTTTACTTACTAAAACAAATTTAGAGTTGTCTAGAATTGGTACACTAAAAACTAGGAAGATTAATTTTTCAATCACTACTGCAAAGCTGCCAAGAATGGACATGGCAAAAATGGCTGCAGCTCCTTACTGCTTTATAGTCAGCAGCAATATTAATGGGTTTAATTAACATCACAGGTCAATATAAATGGGTGAAGTGTTATACAGATCAAGTACGATGAGTAGGTTACAATCCTGGACAATAGAAGTGTTGGATTAACCAAAACAATTTTGGGATTAGCATTGATGGTCAATTAGAATAGTTGGCTTAACATTGCCTGACATTAGGAATAGGCATATTAACATTGCTCATCTACAAATGTGTTAAATTAGCCGTGGTGGCCAGTAAGGATTAAGGCGTAGGATTAAGATTGCTCAGATATTCTTGCTCTGATCTTATCTGCCATTTGTTCCAGTCCAGGATCTTGAAAGATTTGCAGCGCCTCTTCAACAAATTGTAGAGACTCTACGTAGTTTTGTTTCTTGTATAAAGATCTATTGAAACATCAAACAAAAGTTCTTTCATTAGAATAGTTAAAACAATAAAATGAACTGTATAAACAAATAAATGGTGTAAATTTAAATCTATGTAGAGCGAGCAGTCTGGTTGGAGAGCTCATGGCTGTTCACTTCAAAAGTCCAGAGTTCGAACCTTCAGGCAGATAAGGCTCGTTAGATGGGGACAGCGACCCATCTAGGAAAGACAACACCAAAATTAAACAACTGCTGCCTTGTAGTTTGTTCTAGGAGGACATAGGCTATGGGAACAAATCCAAAAAGTAAAGCAGGCTAAAGTCAAAGGGCCATATGGTGCATAGCATGTTGACCTGTATATTACATTGTGTTGGAGAAATCCTCGCCAATATTACAATTTAGAATAAAAAGAATCTCTGTGTGTGAGAATGGAATGAAGAAATTAATGTTCTTCCTTTAATAGCTGGATTAACCTTAAAATAGTCAATTGTTTCTTTAGATTGGCACTCAGAAAAATTTTATACTGGAAATAACAGAAAGTTTGATGACAAGTGAGACCTCTGAGAAACACATAAATTGGAATGGTTACAAACAACTAATCCATTCAAATATCTGAAACAAATTGACACATATAGAATAAATAACGGCAAAACATCCGGAACGATTAGTGATTCTGGAAGATTGCTGTATACGAATAATAATCAATTACTATAATTAAGACTACCAGACAGTACCAAGACACTAGCACCAACCACCAGTTAAAAGGAACACAGCTAGACCTAGCCAGGGATGTCAGTAACTGACCACTGATAGTCTAAAATAGACCCAAAAATTTCTTGGTATTTTTTAGGATGTGCAATGTGGACATTTTTTAAATTAAATTACAAAGAAAATTTACTGTCAATAAAAATTGAACATGAAGGTTTTTAAAATTTGCTTTAACAGAAAAAAGTTCTAAAGTGCCTTTTTTTTTTTAGCCAGGAAGAATTTGATTACGGACCCTGTGCTTCATAGTGAACCCACAGGTAAATAAGAATACTAGCTTAAAGAAGAGACCAACTGTAGAAAAGAACCTCGACATAAAATACCGAAACGTTTGAGGCTTGAGTGGAACCCACAGGTAGAGGGGCCAGAAAGTTCTAGAGATCAGAGGCAGATGGGTTAGGTTGAATTAACTTGAGGGGATAAAAAAAATTTACAATCTTTAACAATACCAGCTTTTTTAAAAGCAAAGTACTCACTAAACCAGTAGAAATAATTTAAATCTGTGAATCTCACTGAACCAGAAGAAACAATAAGAAGAATCTGAATCTTTCTGAGCCAGAAGAAATAAGAATCTGTAAATCTTTCTGAACCAGAAGAAATAAGAATCTGTGAATCTTACTGAACCAGTAGAAATAACAAGAAGAATATGTGAATCTTTCTGAACCAGAAGAAATAAGAAGAAGAATCTGTGAATCTTTCTGAACCAGAAGAAATAACAAGAAGAATCTGTGAATCTTTCTGAACCAGAAGAAATAAGAAGAATATGTGAATCTTACTGATCCAGTAGAAATAAGAAGAATATGTGAATCTTACTGATCCAGTAGAAATAATTTAAATAAGAAGAATCTGTAAATCTTTCTGAACTAAACAAACTTACCGTGCTGTTTTGATAAGGTCTTGAAACCTGGCATTCAGTTCCTCATCAACATTCTCATCCTCTTCCTCCATCACATCCTCATTTCTCTCTTCTTTTACCACATCATCTGTTCATTTTAAAAAGTATATCAGATTTTCATCAAATTTTTTTTTTAAATACCATGAAATTTGCAAAGACAAAAATGAATTTATTTTACCATTACCATGCTAAATCTAACAAAGTTTTCAGAAAAGATGGATATTAAAAACTTACTTATAGCCACCTGTTAAATTACATAATAAACAAAATAGGCCTACTTACGCAAAAAAAAAAAATTAATTTAATAGAAATTAAATATCCATATGTAATTAATATACTAAATCAAAACATTAAAAGTATATATAAATAGAAATCTTTTAATAAGCTTTTATATAAATGGACTAAAAAAAATTTTTTTTTTTTTTTAAAATATAATAGTGCACTGCTCTTTATATAACTATGATGTAAATTGTGTCCATCTCCGAGTATAAACATGACTTCTAAGGATTAAATGTAATTTAGTCTAGTCATTTAAATAGTGATAAAAATGGATAATATTTAATTTTTATTTTAAACTGAATTCAAGTTGACACCCATGAATTATGACAAGAGAAGAAATCATGATAAATAAAGTCTTCTAAAAAAAAAAAAAACAACAACTGCAAATATTAGCAATGTTTATCTCGATTCTCATTTTAAAGCTCAAAAAGTAGATAACCTTACAAACATAAACATCGCTAGTTAGGGTACATAACGCCCCAGATTTAGACTACATGAAGGCAAAAATAAATACCTTTCTCCACAGGGTTTTGATTCTCTTCATCGCTGGCTTCAACAACCTGGACATCATCATCCTCACTGACCTCAACTTCATAGCAGGACCCACCTTCAGACTCAGAGTCTGACACTATTCGATTCCTCCCCCCAACACGCTTTATCAAAATGGGATCATTTTCTTTGTCATCTTCGTCTTCCTCGTCTTGCGTTGTCTCTACGCTTTCAACATTTTCCGTTTTGTCATTCTCGTCAAAACTATCGTCTGCGCGGCTCTCATCAGAACTGTCATCTAGGACTGGTTTTTTCATACAAACGCTTCTCCGTTTGTTGGTTTGATTTTTCTTGGCACTTTGCCTGCCTGCGCTTCTTGATGATTCATTCAGGGCAGATAGAAGAGATCGGCAGTGTGTGGAAGTGTTTGGTGAGGCAGTTGACGATCCAGGGTTTGTGTTCACAGATACACATGAATCTTCCACCACAGAGTTTTCAATTATTTCACATTTTTCTAACACCGCATCTGGGGTTGATAAAACGGATCTGGACAAGTCGTGGAGTCGATTTTTTTTCTTCAAAGGGCTTGAAAGACTGGGGGAGTTGTCTGCACTGTCTGAAACAAACATGAGCTTCCTGCGTGCTTCAAGCATATCGACAGGCGTGCTGTACATGTTTGTGGCCGGTGGGCAGATTTTTCCAGCACTGCTAGCCAAACCAGGTGTACGACTGCCTGAATCAGGGGAGTTTTTAACCAAGACATCAAGGTTACCAAGCTTCTGGTTTTCTTGAGGAGTGGATGTTGTACCTATAGAAGCGAGGTTTATTTTTGTTTTAGATGATGAATACTTTGGTGAGTTGTTTCCCTTTATTGAGGAGTTTGCTAACTTTGAAGGGGAGAATCCAAGCTGGCGCTTGGGTGAATTTATCCCAGGCCGAATCGGACTTGATGGGAAACTACTCATTTTCATGGCTTCTTCCATTATTTTACGATGCATGTTCACTTTCTCAAAGCCGATAATGGGGCTACAGGCGTCAGGGGAGATCAGGATTTCCTCGGTGAAGATCTCACCTTTTCTGGAGGCAACGTGAGGTGAGCGCTGTTGAACTTCGTCCGATGACAGAGGTTGTAGTGCATTGCGAGATTTGTTCTTGACTGAGGGGGAGGGATGCAATTCCTTCTGAGGAAACCTTGTGTCAGCTGAGATCTTAAAGGTAGACACGAACCATTTTTAAAAAAAATAGTTAAGTAAATTTAAAGTGATTAACTGATTATTTTGTGTGTATATGTATGTATGTAATATAACATGAATTCCTCATTAGTCTTACAGATTGAATTGAAAAAAAAAAAATTAAAAAAAAAAAAACAACCAAGAAAGTGTTGGTCATAACAGAAAAGTAATGGCAAATATATGACAAATATATTTGACCTCTGGGCATTGAGTAATTGTGTGGTCAGCACTTCACCCTGCTGACTCTACCTTCACTGACACAAGTTAGACACCCATCAAACCCAGAGTGGGATGGGGATATCCAACAGACTGGAACCAGACTACTAAACGTTCTTTATGTGTATGTATTTTGTATGGTTTACCGGTTATCTATTTTGTATGGTTTATCAGTTATGTATTTTGTATGATTTACCGGTTATCTATTTTGTATGGTTTACCAGTTATGTATTATGTATGGTTTATCAGTTATGTATTTTGTATGATTTACCAGCTATGTATTATGTATGGTTTACCAGTTATGTATTATGTATGGTTTACCAGTTATGTATTATGTATGGTTTATCAGTTATGTATTATGTATGGTTTATCAGTTATGTATTTTGTATGATTTACCAGCTATGTATTATGTATGGTTTACCAGTTATGTATTATGTATGGTTTACCAGGTATGTATTTTGTATGATTTACCAGTTATGTATTTTGTATGGTTTACCAGCTATGTATTATGTATGGTTTATCAGGTATGTATTTTGTATGATTTACCAGTTATGTGTCTTGTATGGTTTACCAGTTATGTATTATGTATGGTTTATCAGTTATGTATTATGTATGGTTTACCAGGTATGTATTTTGTATGATTTACCAGTTATGTATTTTGTATGGTTTACCAGCTATGTATTATGTATGGTTTATCAGGTATGTATTTTGTATGATTTACCAGTTATGTATTTTGTATGGTTTACCAGTTATGTATTTCTTCAATGAATTAAAAAAATTTTTAAAAATATTTACTTGGTTATAGTATTACTCATTTGTTTAATGCTATTTTTAACCAAAAAATGTAAAAATAAGAGAATCTAACATCGAACTGAATGAAGTTTAATTGAAACACAAAAATCTTAACAAATACTTCAACTATTAAAAAATTCTACATAGAAAAACATCAAATTAATTGTATCACTAATGAAAACCCAAAGAATAACTTTAAAAAAGATTGCACACGCCATTCTTATCACTTACTTCTTTTTTAACATTTACATTTTCACTAGAATGTTCGGAGTCTTCTGTGTCTTCCATGGCAGTGTATCTAGAACCATGGTCATCTGACTCGTCATCTGAGACGGTCACCAAGTCCACATTTTCAACATGGCTGGATGGTTTCACTAAACGGAGTAAAACAAATCACTTTTAATATTCATCTAGTTGGTGACATAAAAGGGAAAAACATTTATCATTTATAGTGAAAAATTAATATAGTTGTATTGTCTTGTTTAGAAAAGTACCACCACTAATGCAAAAAGTGCATGCGTGAAAAGTTAAGCCGCACCACTTTTTGCCAGCTCCAATTTTATAGTTAGGGTCAAAGGTACCAAAATACAGGCCTTTTCATGCAAACTCTTAATGACATGTCCCAATTTCACCCTCTTTAATAAAATCTAAAAGTAAAAGTTTCATATTCTCAGGGTTCGTACACTATTTTGAAAAGTTTTATAAGCTACAATGGTAATTATAGTGATTTTTTTTTACGGCAATGAGTTTTATATAAGATAATAAAAATAATGTATTGAGAAAAATAAATCAACATGTTTAAAAAAAAAGAACAAAGCTATAAAAAACACTTGTTTTATTTCATTTCCAAAACCAACTTTAAACTGATGCGCGAGTATAGCGTTATAATAAGTGTGAAGGCCACATCTTAACACTTTTTCCCAATTACTACATTGCTTGTATGAAGCTAACACGTAGGCCTACTAATTAAATAAATATAGATTCAGTGACATAATTACCAGATGAGTTTTGTTTTAAATAAAAAAACATTTTTAATTTATATAAACTGCATCCAAATTTTGTGCAAATTATAGGCTATCATTGTTGAGATTTTATGTGCTGACACTTATAAGGACCTGAATTACTGGATCATGCTGGCAAAAATTGGAGGAAAGAAAAAACAACCAGAAATCTCGCTACACCCAAAAGAAATAAAAAGAATAATAAAAAACAAACAAACACAAATGTGGTCTGACACACACCCTCACTACAATAAAGATGATGGATATTACAATTTGACACGAAAACAACAATACATAATCTTTCGCCTCAGAACAGGCCATAACAGACTAAATCAACATGCATAAAAAACTAAAAATTGGGAGTGGCGAAATTTGCCCTTGTGGAAAGGCCCCGGAGAATACGGAGCACATCCTTCAGGAATGTCCCTTATATAGCCAGGCGCGAGTCAGACACTGGCCCCTGCTCACCCCACTCAGGGAAAAATAATATGGGGCGCCTGCTGATCTGGAGACCACAGTCCAGTTTATTCACTTGTTGTCTAAATCCTCCACCATATTCTCAATTAAGAACGAAGAAGAAGAAGACTGGGTCATTGTGAGCTCATGTAAGCCACCATTGATACAAGTAGGTCTTGTTCTCATAGCTTGACGTTTTGCAAGGATATCTAAATTAATCTGAGGTTGTGAAATAAAGTGGATGGTAGAGAGAAACGGTTAATGGTGCAGCTTTAAAAACAGAGGGTGGGTTAAAATATCGGTTGATAAATTAGGCTATAGTTAGACTAACACTTATGCGAGGTTATCGGTAAAAAGACCAGGTTTGGGAGGAAACCATTTTGCATCCAAATTTTTTGCAACTAAGAGATTATCATGTATGAAATTTAATGTGCTGACATCCACATTGCTCCTAGCTACTGTCCACAAAAAGTTTAAGGACCGTTATGCTGTCTGGTGACATCTACTTAAATTCTTTTATATCAAGGCAAATAATATTAGTAATATCTAACCTCAAGATTATACAACAGATTTCAGCACAGGACCAAATGTAAGTAGTTTTAATGAACACTATTCAGAGGCATAGTGACCCCTTCCTGCACCCAGGGACAAACTTTCAACTTGCACCTCCCCCCCCCTCAAACTTTTGATTTGCACCCCCCCTCAAACTTTCAATTTGTTTTTCCAACCTATTTTGGCACCCGGGGACATATGTCCCCCCCCCCCCCCCCCCACGCCTCTGATGCCATTAGCCAACTGTAAACCATTAATAATCCTACCACATTCTATGATGAAAAAAAAAAATTACCTTGGGAAAACAAAGCACTCGTTGGAACAGCCTGGTTGGTTGAGTTGCCACCCCTGCCCGCTGTTGGAAATCTCATCAGACCCTTTGACCTCTCTTCATAAGATATTGGAACTGTTGACTCTTCAGCTATCAACATCTGAGCTTTGTGGATCTGTGAAACAGAAAGACAAGCTTCATACAGAAAAGTAGAACTAATGGACTTAGCAGCTTACATATTTTTTAAACATGTACTAGTACTTTATTAACAGGAAGTGTTATGGATGTTACATTACTTAGTTTTAATTAACTAAGAGTGGATTATCTATTCTTAAAGATTAAGGGGAAAAGTAGCAAATACTCTATGTTGAATAAAGCGTTCGTTGTTTTCATTCTCTTCATGGCCTTGAACTATGACATCATCCTCTTCATCATCTCGAACATCAGTCTGTTTGAACATCAAATCATGGTCGCTGATCCCAAAAATATCTAAAGTGACAACAAGCATAATAAGATGAAACTTAATTAAGTAATTACAATATAATGTAAGTAGTAAAATTTAATATTTAAACTGGTGTAATAATTCTTTTTTTAAAATATAATGTATAAATTTTGATGTAGCAAGTTCATTATTTTCAAATATAATTGATAAATTTGAAGGCCCTCTAAACGATTTCATTAGTGTATAAACTTTTATTTTGGTTTGTGGCCTTGCCAGGTTCTATCAATTTTTTCAGTATATTACTTAATTTCCAAAAGTGAACCCCCTACTTCAAGGGTACTTGGTTTAGCTGGGTTCACATTATGTCATAAGTATGAGAGTTGAACCCAGATACCTGACATTAAGTGTCCAACAAAAAGAAACAAGGCCTTACCCAGGGAATGGAGGTAGGCGATGTGTTCATCCAATGCAGTGTCAGACTGTCTCTGGTCAGAGTGAAGGTCCTGAAGCTGACGCTGAGTTTTTGAAAACTTTGGATCATCTAAGGTGAAGAGCTCTCGAAGTTCCATCTTTGTAAAATACCTGTTTAGATAAAAGACATTGATTAGGGTTAAGGTTGTCGGGTCGGTTAAGCTCAGAGCGCTAAACCAAAAAGTTCAGAGTTTGAACCTCCGGGCAGATGAGGTTTGATAGCTGGGAACAAACCCTGGGCAGAGTAGGTTTGATAGCTGGGGACAGCAAACTATCTAGGAGAGAAAACTCCAAAAACAAACAACTGATGCTAACATGGCTTCACTGGGCATGTGGCCTTCCAGTAAATGATCACCAGCTAGGGTGCATGAGTTAAAGGATGAAGATTAAAGGCCTTTTATTTGTGACCAAGGCGAGCTACTTAGATGGAGGTATACGGCTGTAGTCAGGCATGGAGAGGGGTGGGTGCGGCCATGCAGCACTTAGCCCTAGACACACCAGTCTGTGGTGCCCCAACGACCCCAATAAGGCTAAAGGGATTATTTAATTAATATTTTATCATTTCAATGATAAAAACAAAAACTTTTCCCCCTTAATCTTAAAGAATAGATAATCCACTCTTAAGAGATTTTTGTAGTATTAAAATTTTTTGATTACAATTGTCTCATTAGAGGCATGCTGATCTCAACATTCTTTTAAAGCAAACTTGGTCTGATAAGAAAAAGGAAATGGCACTGGGTGGGACACACAGTGAAAGGCAAACAAAATTGTTAAAGTTCTCGAGTGGAACCCCCCGGGAAGGTGAAAGAGAGAGTGCCCAAGACAGAACAGGAGGGGGAGTCTTCTCGAATATCAGAAGACCACAGGTATGTCTTTGGAGACTGCAAAATAGACCGTAAGGCAACAGACAAAGTGGAAGAAAAATTAGAGGACAAAGTTGCGATAAACTTTGCGTAATGTGCCTTTGACTTTATCGTTCAAACGTGTATTTTGTGGTCTAGGAATGATCAATAAGAAAAATCATCAAAACAACATTTTGATCCACATCTTGAGACTGACCTTTACTCTAAAATGTTTACCACCAACTGTGAAAATGTGATTAAAATTAATTGGTGTGAACAAATGAAAGAAAGTCAAATGTGATAACGTCAGCACCTGTATGGGTTTTTGCTGTTTCCTGTTGTCTGTCTGGTGATGCTGTCTTTAAACACCTGCCTCCTGTAGATTTTCTCCTCCACTGTCCCACATGTTATCAGCCTGTAGACCACGACGTTTTTCTGTTGGCCTATTCTGTAGACACGGTCAACTGCCTGAGCATCAGTCGCAGGGTTCCAGTTGGGATCATCTGTTAACACACAAAACTTAATCTGTTAACTCACGAAACTTAATCTGTTAACTCACGAAACTTAATCTGTTAACATACAAAACTTAATCTGTTAACACACTAAACATAATCTGTTAACACACAAAACATAATTTGTTAACACACAAAACAATTTATTAACACACACAATTTTATCAGTTACAATAACTTTTTTAACACACAAATCTTTATTAGTTAACACAAAATGTATCTTTTAAACCATAAACTACATGCTTAAATTTGTTTAAACTTGGCCTGGAAATGATTTAAAAAAAAAATAGATTTAACCATGAAGGATGCTTTTTAGTCCTTCTACTTCTAGGTCTATAACTAAATGAACTAAATCAGTGAGATCTACTGAGAGGCAAACACGACATAATAGCCCAACCTAAGTTCCATAAGCATAAAGTCTACTTCATCTGGTCTACTGGGTGTCAGGTTAAGGCAAAAAATACTTATTAATATAAACACTTATAAACATTACAGCAGTAAAGTTATGTGAGCCCAATTAGTTAGGTAAAGTAAAGAATCCTCTTTAGACCTAACGATCCCCAGGCAGATGAAGAAGAGTTCATGTTTCTTGACCTCGGCATATGAAGGGAAAGTGTGCTTAGCACTTAGCCCAGCCACCTTTACTTTCCCTAACATGAGTTAAGTACCCATCAAAGCTGGGTGGACTCAGGGACGTTCTATTGACTTGGATCTAGATTCGTGTTCAAGACTTTTGGGTTAGTAGCCTAGTGCTCTACCACTTAGGCCACACTGTCAATCCGCTAGGTACTGGGTATCAAAGGAGCGAGTAGTGTATTGGGCACATGACCTCACAACATGTGACCCACATCAAATAGTAAAACACCTCCAACAGATCTTTAAAAACATCTGAAGTTTTATCTATCCTATTTTTATACACCATATTATGTATTTGCCAGTTTTGCTGGATTTTAATTAATGTTAAGTTTTTTTTTTACAAAATGTGGAAGCCACTAAACAACTTTATTTACTTACAAATAATAACTCTGTCTGCTGCAGTAATGGTCAGCCCAACTCCACCAACCTGGATGAAACAAATACCAATTTTCTTAAAATTTATAAACCCTTGTGTAGCTTATGTTACTACATACCACAGCATTGAAAAGTATAATCCATTACATTTAAATTAAATATTCTAACTATAGAATGAACTAAACATAATTTATCTGGCAAACAAGAAATAATCAAATTAGGGAAAAAACCAACCATTTGTGAAAAAGAAAATTTGAAAATATTGGATATACTTACATGAATGGCTAAAGAAAAAACTAAAAAAAAAATTACCTGAATAGTTAGAAGAAAAACTGAGTATGAAGGGTCTCTTTGGAACTTTTTGACAATTTCATCCCTCTCTGTCAGCTGTGTGATTGTACCATCAAGTCTGGCAACCTTGTGCCCCTAATAAAAAATTAAATGAGGCTCATAAGTGATAGAAGCTAGTACAGTTAAAGATCACAATCTTGAAAAAATATCATAGTAGGAAAACAGGTTATTATTCTTACTCTGTATAAATGTCAGAATCTCTACACAATATTTGACTAAAGATAGAGGAATTAAAAGGGGTCAGTTGATTTCAAACCCTCAAATTAAAAAAAAAAAAGTATCGTCCATTAACTTAATTTAAAAATGTTACAATTTTTAAAAATATTTTTTTTTATTTTTTAACAGAATATTAAACAATATTTAATCTGTTTTGATTAATTATTTCTTACTGGGTAAAGTTTACTGATCTTACCCTGTTAGTGATAACTTTCTGAATAATGTTCAGCAGTTTTCTGGACTGTGAGAAGACGAGAGTTTGACGACCTTCACTTTTGAATGTGTCCAGAAGCTCTACAAGAATCTGCATCTTTCCTGACTCATTGATTAAGATGTCGTCAGAAATTTTATCCAGCTTTGTTGCTGCACACTCGTATGATTCAGGATTCTCCAGTTCCTCTTCATCAAAACTGTAATAGACAAATACTTCAATTTTTCAATGAAAGTTATTTAAAATCAGAATAAATATAGTTTCATATCTTTCATATTTTGTTGCAAATAAATCTGATTATTCATTTTTGAGGATTCAAAACTATAAGTGAAAGTATTTTAATTTAATATTATTAAATCATTTAAATAAAACATCAGATATTGGGTATTTATAAAGAAACATTTAGTTTTAAGCACACACTAAAAAACCCCTATCCAACTTTCACATAAATACAGCACAAAATCCCCCCCTTTCCTGTCCCTCTGAACCATGTACAAATCAAACAGATTTCTCATTTAAGTGCAATTGTGGTTAAGAAAGTTCCTTACTCTTCTCCATCTAAACCTAACTGGAGACAAGCTCTTGAACTCAACAACCGTGGATGGTCGCAGATTTTTTTCAAAACAGTCAAGGCAACCAGTGGAGATTTTTTTGTCATTAGTAGCTAAAATATAAAGAACATAATAGAACATTATTAACAATCATGTTAAATAAAGCAGCTTGGTAAATGGTTTAGCATAGAAAAAAATATAGTGCCTATTGCAAAGTAGTGTTTTTCTATCATAAAAAGCCAAAGCTTAATATTTTTATATTAAAAAAAAACAACAACATATATTTAAAGAATAAAATGCTTATTAAATTAATTTACTTCTTTAACATGGTCCAGACTGGTGAAATCTTGATAAATCTTCTGTTGTGTTTCAGTCAAATGCAACCATAGTACTAAGTCATTCTTGCGAGTCATATTAGGCATTCTACAAATGATCCAAAGATTATTTTAATACTATTTATTTTTAATAATATCATAAATTGTACATTAGAGGAAGTTGTTTAGTACAAAAAATAGTCATCAAACGAACTTCATTTTGCCTGATGGAAATCAAGTTTTGAAAAGTGTAAATTCCATATGCACAATCACAACAGAAATTTAACAAAGCTAACATAAATTAGGAAGAGTAGAACTCACTTCAAGCAGCTAGGGTCTGTGTTAGAATCTCGGGCATCCTGTACCTCTGCTTTGGTACGACGCAAAAAATAAGGTTTAATGATTCCCTTTAGAGTTTCAGCCATTTCTTGACCCAACTTTTTCTCCACTGCTGTTGCATCCCTCTCTCTAGCCTAAAAGATACAAAACCTTCAATATTGTTTCAAACAAATGTTAAAAATCAAAACTATTTTTAATAAGAACATTTCGATTAATTATTGCCAAATAAGGTACAGTTTTCAGATAAATATTTTATATTTTAATTTAACTGTCGATAATGGCTAACAAATGATACCCTAATAATTGGAGTTTCAAATTCCATTTTAAATGTTCTGACTGTCCCGAGTAGTGAGCCTTGATGAACGTAATCAAATAATGACCAAAGCTCCTGAAAGTAAATAAAGACAAGTTAACTTAAAAAAAAAAACAACAACCTCTGAGTAGTGATTTCAGCAAATTTTAACTAACTGATAAAAAAAATAACAAATGCTCTTGAAAGTAAATAAATACAAGCTAATTTGAAAAACAAAACAACCCATAAGCTGTGATTTCAGCAAGTTTAAATTACTGGTAATTTGTCAACCAACACTAAAATATAAAACTTCGCACACATACCTTAAGATTGTTCTGTACTGGAGTGCCAGTAAGAATTATTCTGTGCCTTGCAGGAATCTGATGGACACTTTTTGAAGTCTTTGTTGGATTCTTAATCTTGTGACCCTCATCCAGTATAACATAATCCTGTTTCAACAAAATAAAACATCAATTTTAATTAAATAAAACTAACGTATAAATAAAGTGTGATGTATGCCAAACTTACCCAAATAAACTCCTGGCCATGCCTCTCAGAAAAAGTTTCCTTGGTTGTAATAACAAGTCCATAGGTTGTCATTAGTACACCCCCTCTGGTTCTGACTTTTGCTAAAGCTCTTTCTCTCTCTTTCTTTGAACCTCCATGAAACTGCACAACATTGATACCTGGAGTCCTGTGGATGGATATAAAAACATAAAAAATTATCCTAGATACTTCTACAAATGTATTCATGGAGCATATAGAAAAATATTCAAAAGTTGTCACTCTAAAACTGAAAAGTACATTCCCAATGTAATTGTTTAAACAAATTAATGATATTTTTATAAATGAAATAAATCTCAATAATTAAAGAAGTTAAGATCCAAAACTTGATTGTGTAAGACATTCCTTACTCCACCCAGCTCAAATGAGTACCTGGCACATTATGGAACTTAAGGCAGCTGAGCATAGAGTACAACACTATCACCTGCATGCTAAGGTCATTGAACTCAACTTCATCTGCCCAATGTGACTTGAGCACAAACATGAAAAAAATGATAATTAAAGGATCTTTTGGACACCAATCTTTAGTTTTTTTTAAATTGATAAAGAAATGTGAAGAGAAAAGCTCTACCCTGAAATATATGTATGATGGAGAGAAATTAGTCCTACCATTTGTTGAATTCATTAAGCCAATTAGGCATGACACTCAGTGGAACCACGATCATCACTGTCTTTATCTTATTCATATCAAACATGCCTGCCAGGAACGCTATCACTTGGATTGTCTTGCCAAGGCTGGATGAATAAGTAGTAAAAATAATGAAACTAACAAAATGAAACATTACTATTTTTTTGAATGGATAAAAAGAAATGACAAATCACAAATATTTCATTTATTTGAAAAAAAGTGGTTGCCCTATGGGTATTGCTAACCGTTAAATTTGAAGGAAATAATTAAAACTGCTAACATACAAAATAAAGATATTAATAAGTTCTAACTGGATAATTTAAACAGCATTAATTGTAAGAATACTGAAAATATAGTATTAACCATTTCCATTAAAAAAATGTAAAATTAAAAAACTATTACTGAAAACAACGGAGATATGGAGGTGCACAGCAGAAAAACAACTGACAAAGGCAGGACTATCTTGAGCAAAAGTGGAAAGAGCTCTCTTTAGGCACAAAATGGGAAAAGAAATTGATAATTAAATTTTAAAACATTACCCCATGTCATCAGCAAGTATTCCACCTTTTCCTAGAAGATAGAGCGACCACAACCAGAGAATACCCTCTTTTTGATGGGAGTAGATCTTTTCATGCAGTCTAGCATGCAACATGAATCCTTGACCTAGCGATTTCATCTGGCTATCATTTTCATCATCACATTCTTGGTCAGCTAGAAAAGCCTGTTATACACAAAATAGACAAATTCCAAATTGATGTAGGCTAATTAGAGTTTATAGAATTTTAGCTTAAAACACAAGGTACTTTCAAATTAAGCTAGAAACACTACAAGCACAACTGACATAATTTCATTAGGTTAACAATATCTAACCCATATCACTAGGATAACCCTTAACCTAATTCTAAATTTCTTTTTTAGATTTCACAGAAAAGTAACATGTTTTAAACCAGGGGTCTCCAAACTTTTCAGCCCGCGGGCCGCATTAACTATCAAATATCAGTTCGGGGGCCAGAATTTCTTCAAGACATCTCTTCGGGGTGGTGGCGCCCCCCACCCCTGAAAAACGCCCTCCGCCCCAAATATATTCAAATTTCAAGTGTCACCATCCCCCCCCCCCCCCCCCGGATAAAAAAAAGTCTGAAAGAAACACTGTCGGGGGGCCAACAACACACTAGAGGTCCAAGTTTGCTCTCAAATTATTATTCACTTATTTCTGTCTTGAAAAAGTTTGTTGACACAGGTATCTTGTTCAAAACTTTAAAAGGTACTTTGATGCAAAAGTTAAATATTAGGAAAGTCTTCCTTGTGCAAAAAACTTATAAAAACCCACCCGCCCTTCTTTGAACTTGTCTCTAATGACCCCCAGCCGCAGTTCATCCTTGCAACTGGCCACATTGGCATCAAATGGGTTTTGGAACAGTCTCACTTCTTCTGCCTTTGAATCCAAGTCAGAAAACCACTACTGAAACTGCAGCGGGAGGTCTTTGATGATCTCGTATGCAAATGACGTGGGGGACTCAGTGGTTGCTTCAGCCGTAAAGACCTTGCACAACTGAGAGTGCGTCAAGTTGTTGGTCAGTACTTGTTCCAAAAAATAGACAAGTTTGTATCTAAAGGCCTTTAGGTGGGTGTATAGATCAGAAACTAGATTTCCCTCTCTTGTAGTTTTAGGTTCAGAAAATTTAAATGACTAGTTATGTCTGCAGCAGAGGCCAATTTCTTTACCCACTCTTCATCAGACATTAATGGCTGTGGCTTGCCTTTAATTTCCAGGAAGTCACAGAACTTTCTCGCAAATTAGCCATCTTACTGCTGTGAAATATGGTAAATCTTGCGATTATGTGTTTGTATCTTTCAACATGTATCTGAACTATCTATGGTTTGATATCCTCTCCGGTAACAGTGCCATACATTATATGTAGGGAAACCAGCTCTTGTGTTATATTTATGTCTTCATCCTCACCTCTCATGAACACAAACAGTTGAGAGGTGGAGCAGCTGTGCAGCGACTCATCCATTGCAGATTGAAAAATGGCTGAACTTGCTTGCATTTTTTGCTATTTGAGTCACGATGTTTTCACTAATGTCTGCAACACGGCGGGCAATGGTATTTGCAACCAAAGCTACATTTTCAAATTGTTTGAATTTTCTGTCCAAAGTTCCTCAGCCACCTCTAACAAACATTTATTCCATGGACAAAAAGATCGCCGCGGGCCGGATGAAAGGACCTCGAGGGCCGCATCCGGCCCGCGGGCCGTAGTTTGGAGACCCCTGTTTTAAACCATTGTTACTCTTATTCTGCAATTATACCTTCATTTTCGCTATTCGTTTTTTCAACTTATCACTTTGATGGATCTCGAAAGCTTTTTCATTTAAGATAATTGCTTTGGCGATGTCTCCTTTTTCTGCCAACTGTCGAGCCTTAGTAACCAACTGCATAAATTTCTGTCTCTCCGCTGAATCTGAACTGCTTTCTGATTCCTCGGATTGGAGTCTGGTCTTTTCAACAGTACTGGAATCATCTGCAGATAAAATGATATTACAATCTTAATATTGTTCACAATTTATACATTTTATTTGACTAAGGCAATGAAACTAAGATAATTTAATAGTCAGTAATATTATAAGTAGGCCCTACAACAGAATAACTTACCACTTGAGTATAGTTTTAATCTGTTACTATTATTCTCATTTAGAGAAATACTGGAAAGTTTTTCTTCTAGATCCATCTTTCTGTTTTATATTGAGAAATCAGTGAATCACTTCTGACTTTTCATAAATAATCTGGAAAAAATGTAACATTTAGAAAAAAAAAACACCTCTCATACTAATCATTATCAGTTTATTAGGTCTATTTAGGCTATTAAATTTCTTATAGGTATATATATATATATAAATATATATATATATAGGCCTAGGCCTATATATATATATATATGTATATATATATATATATATATATATATATATATATATATATATATATATATATATATATATATATATATATATATATATATATATATATATATAATATATATATATATATATATATATAATATATATAGAAATAAGGTGGAGTAATAGATCTACAACTATATCTGCTTGACTCTTCATTTGTGTCTCAGCTAATAGATCTAGATATCTAGAACTAAACTTGTTGGATAATTAGTATTAATTAGAGGTACTGATGTCCAATAATAGACTTATGCGAAAATAGGTGTTAGTTGTTAGTAGTGTTACAATCAGAAGTGTGTAAGCGTATAGCATACATCATAGCAAGACCATTGCTATGAGCTTGTCGAGATTTGTCGTCGTCGAAGTCCCCCCCCACCCAGCATGAGGGAAAAACGGATTTGGGGTCATTGTGAGTTCAAATGTTACATATTGCTTCGATTAAAGCTTACTACAATGCATGCGAGATATTAGTGTTCAAGAAAACGGGCCCTGGAACTGTAGTATGCAGCCTAGGGCCTATATCATATGAGCTATCTTATACAGTTTTATATATATATATATATATTATATATATATATATTTAGGCCTATATAAAGTATATAGGCCTATATTATATATTGGACGGATAGACCTATGAAATCAAATTACGTTTAACAGAAGAAAAAATAAATAAAACACATTTTTACATGTGCGCTCAACATTCGCTCGGCCATAGAAGTTCACACCATAGGCCATAATTATATTATAGATCATCTAGATCTAACGACACCCACTCATCATAACATTTGTCAGTAATGATATCGTTATCGGGCAAAGCAAGATCTCAATATTCAATAGAGAAGTCTATAGTCTATATCATTTAGAATTACAAGGAAACAAATCACAACAGAAAAGATATATTCAATATTCTGCATCTTAAAAGAATTTTTGTATAACTAAATCTTAAACAATTCTATTGGCTGGTCCCAATAGCGGCCGAGGCTATTAATTAGGACCCGGGTGCCAATAGCGGCCGTATTTGGGACCCGGGTCCCAATAAGAAAAAAAAAATGCAATTTACGAAATATCTAGAATCTAAGTAGACTAGATCTAGATCTATTTAGTATAGATCTAGAGTGTGTCCTTAGTTGAATAACTTACTCAACTTAAGACTTAGATCTAGATTCTAGATCTAGATCTAATAGGGGAATAGTCTGTTGAATTGATTAAACTTCAAGAAAAACTTCAGAAAATCAATTTGAGTTTTAGCGCGTAGTACGTAACAGGAACAAACCGATGGGCGGGACTAAGGTATGAAAATGATTCGCAAATTTAAATATCTACACATTTCCTTAACGTAATCTTCCTTTGAAGCAAAGTCTTTCTTTAAATAAATGAGTAATAATAAATTAATAATTTAGATATAAAATAAAGCAATGTTTTCATTTTATAGCAAAAATTGCATGTATTGAAGAATTAATATATAGAATCTAGGGTCTAATAATATTTATATTTAATATGCGTTCTTTCATTTCTTCGAAAGAAAATGACATCACTTCCGACATCAATCATAACAGTTCTTGACATGAAAATAATCAATATAAACATGAACGAAAGGAAATGGATAGATTTAGAACTCAATTAGTAAAAAGTATTCAATAAGGCTTAATTAAAGTCATGTTACACGGGCTGAATTCTTCAGTCTTTGCATAAATTATGGTTTCTACACATACTACGCTTTATTTAAGAGTTTCAGAGGCGAAAGAACTCTTGGCAAAAGATTTGTAAGTAAAAGTTCGAGGCATTTTCTCAGATTTTCTGTGTCCGTAGTTGGGAAGTTACTAGATTTTCTAGATCTAGATTTCTAGATCTAGACTCCAGCTGAGCAGTTAATAAACTAGTAAACTAACTTGGGCCCAGTTAACCTAATAATAATAATCTTGACTTATTCAGTACTAATCTGGGGTGTGGGGAAATTGCGAAATGGCGAGGCGGGAAAGTGCGAGAAGGTAATGCGAGACATACCTGCGGAATTAAGGGTAAATAGCGAGACACTTTTTGCGAAAAAAGTTTTTTCCTTTTTTTTCCATCTTTATTTATTTAAATTATTTTTTGTTTGTTTTAAAATAAACAAGCATTTAGCCATACCCTTTAACACGAGTGTTGTATGTTGTTATTTTTTATCTAGATACTAAGAAGATAGATAGATCTAGATCTATTTAAAAATCCTAACATCGTTGCTGTGCTACTGTCATCGCCCGCTCTTGTTAGCGAGAGGAAAATCCCGTCTCAGTCGGCATTAATTTAAAAATCTAGCCCGCTCATGTTTATACAAACGTGAGCTGTGTCATTGTGAATTGGTATAATCTTGTCAGCAGGAGAGATATTTTGCAACATCTATTTTTGGATTTTTGTACTTGCAAAAAGTGTAAAAGTATAAACAATTCTAAAAAGTGCAATTTTTTTTTTTTATTAAGTAATTTTAATTACAAACAAAATTTACAAACAAAATCTTCTGAAACAGTCCTCAAACACACCTCGTGACACCATCTTTCACACATAGTACACCCAACCCAGTTCATTAGACTCCCATTTATACATTTTTCTTTTGCTACTTCTTCCAATCCACATTCACAACATTTCACATTCTCATCACAGTTGACCTCCTCGTTCATCCCACAAACAGCACTGGCACCCATGTTCTCATCATCATCATCATCCGCACGCTCAACATCTGTTTTCCGTTTTTTATAATTTGTATTTTTTATCATTTCTGTAATTTTGGCAATGTCTTGCTCATTGTTGTCACCAGCAGTTGAGTTTTTTAAAAACATCGATATTTTCTCAAAATCTTGTCTAATTTCGGTCAAAATAGAGTATTTTAATCAATTCCTATTACAATGTATTAAAACAGTTTTCTAAAACGCGAAAAAACGTCTACAATTCTTTTTCTAACATTGCTTTTTTATAGTGTGACTTCACATCTAACCCCCCCCTCCCCCTCATCACACATCGTCATAAAATTACAGACCCCCCCCCCTACGAGTGTGACGTCATTTATGGAAGACCCCAAATAACACCACCACCAAAACCAAAACATTCAGATAAGTTCAACTTGGTTTTAAAAATATTTGAAGTAGGCCCATAGCTTACGATAGAGCACGAGCAACTGATAATATCGTTGACGTCACTTTATTTTGTTGTATCCAAATGATGTAGGCATTTCCTTGTGCTTAGATTTATATGGTAAAAAATGCTAGAAAAAAATCGTAGGCGGCAGCTATAACACAAAATTTCTATGCAACAATAGAAAATATGTTTGCGGCGGCAGCGGATCCGGGCACGGCGATCTTCAAAGACGGTAAATCAGGCGGCCTCGGCGTTCCACACAAAAGACAGAAGTTGATCTATCGTCGGCTGTATTTCCGTCGGTTTCGAACAAGGTGGTATTCTAAGTCGACTCAAAAGATGGGGGGAGTTGACAAATCATCAGTATGTCTAGCGACGGAAAAATGGGAAGTTTTAACAATGTAAACGAAACGTCTTTGAAGTCTGGACCAAATACCACTGAAAATCGGGTGCGGTAAATTTTTCGCAGAAATCTTCGCATTTCAACACCACCCAGCGTAAGTATCGGCTTGTGGTAAAATGCGAGACAAAAAAGTCACGTGACCGACCGTTTTCGCGCCCTTCTCGCATTTTCCCGCCTCGCCATTTCGCTTTTCGCGTCTCGCAATTTCCCCACACCCACTAATCTGTAGGCTACAGTCACACAGTGGCACTGACATTACACAAAAAAAAAATGACTAGATTCTAGAATCTAAACTCAAACAGATGAAACTGTCAAAATTCAAAGCTGACTCAAAACAATCACTAACTCAGCTGAGCTAATGAATTAATGATAAACATCATAATAATTTAGGCCGATGCTAGCCGGAAAAAGATACGCATGCGCAATGGAGAGAAAATACGACTTTCCATCGCGGCGATGTTTTCGATGGTACTGCGCATGCATGTGTTTACAACCGCAGAACCCTAACACCAACCCTAACCCTAATCCTAACCCTATCCCTAATCCTAGCCATAATCCTAACCCTAGCCCTAATCCTAACCCTAATTCTAACCCTAGCCATAGGTCACTGCGCATGCGCAGAGCTATCTTTTGCCGACTAAGTGGAGACGTTGGGGGAAAAGATCTCCTTCCGAGTAGTTACTTCAAATAATTTAATAATATAAATCATTATCATAGCTGTTAGTAGTAGGCCTAATAATATTCATCTATTTTTATAGGCTAGGCCTAGATCTACATAGTACATACTTACTACTTACATAGTATTAGTACATACATAACGTGCATTACATCCATAGATTGCATAGATCTATATGAAAATGCAGGCACTCTTGTTAATCTGTTTAATAGGTTTAACAAAAAATAGATATCAGGACTGCCCAACTATTAACTATTAGTTCTTACTAGATTCTAAGTCTTACTTAGATCTACAAATTCAATGTTGACATAGTGTTACTTCAACTTCCGGATTATACTTTAAAGTTTAAATATATATTTTTTTTATATCCTAATTTTCAAACACATGTATATATATTTTTAGCAATGGCAAAAGTGATCCTTACTGTGTTATTAAAGTTGACAACGTGGTCATAGCCAGGTAATTTTAATGTCTATTAAATTTTTTATTAACTCTTTCTCAAACACATTTTTTTTTATATATTATATGTAATAATTGTACTTTAAAATAATCAACTGCTGTGTTTTTTTTTTATTCTTTTACAGTTATTTAAGCATAAGCCTTTAACTAACTCTGACACTGACTTGTTCTTTCAGGTTTTCATACATTTTAAAAACATCTAATGTTAATTTCTCTGCTTGATTATCATTCCCTTTTTTTGTCCTCTTTTCTTTTGAGATTTAGAAATAAGAACATCTAATTCTAATGAAGTTTAACTAAGTTATTTGCTAAAATCTGTTCGTCTGAGCCTTTTCTTTTCTATAAAAAATTAAATTATATAATATTGTCTATTAGTTCAATTAAATGTCGAATTCATTTTTAATAATGTACATCTCCTTAGAACTGCAACAGTGTATAAAACACTGGATCCACTATGGGGAGAAGAGTTCATCCTTCATATGCCGAGTGGGTTTCAGATTCTGAGTTTTTATATTTATGATGCAGATAAAGTCAGGTAGAGTGTTTTGTTTTACTTTTCAACTGTATACAGTTTATTTGTAATATTTGCATTCCCTTTTGTAAAATTTTGTGGCTCTTTTTTTTTTTATTACAATGGTGCATGAAAGATCTATTTCTACAAAAGTGGTTTCTGCCTTTTTAACCCTTTAATTTAACTTTTTTTTTTCAATTTTTCAATTGTAATTAAATAGCTTTTTGTGTTTTATATGTATTTATATTTAACTACAATTTTGAATATTTATGAAAACGTTGTGGAAAAGTTTATGAAAAAAAATGGACTTTCACTTAACTGTTTGTTGTAGATTTAAAAATAATATTCTAGAATCTACCCAATCTAGAAAGATGGCTTTATGCATAAAAAAAATAATTTTTTTTTTAAACATAGTTATGGCATTGCAAAGAAATCTAATTCCTGCTATCGTTGTATAACCTTTTTATTGGTATTGTAAATCTTATGTGTATTTTCTCTTTCCCCCATGTGTTGTGGTGCTGTTACTAAAAGCAGCAGGTAAGTAATGTCTTAACAATGGTTCATTCCTTTTTTTAATATATTCTTACATATATTCTTGTAACTGGTCAGTGAAGAAAGATATGAAAAGTGATCTTAAGATATTTAAATTAATTCACCTAATTAGTCAAATCCCATTAATTTTCAGCCTATAAATTATAATTCTTATCATTGTCATTTTTAATTAAATTTAAACCAAATAGATTATTTTGGGCATTATCAATATTATTAGTTTTAAACACTTACTACTAAATTAATAATAAATATAAGAAATTGTAAATTATGTGTGTAGATTTTATTTTTATTTTTAAAATTCCCTTAACTTTTAACATATAGGGTTTATATGTTGATAAGTACATATTCAATTAGCTATAACGCTGTTTAAATAACAAAAATTAAGTAGATAAGAACAGATACAATTAAAAACATACTTGTAGTTAAAAATATGAATATAGTCATCAAAATATTCCATGACAAAGTGAGTGTAGTTTGCGTTAGTCTGAAACTGGGTTGTTGGCTTGTAATGCAGCTGTGATACTATTTCTTCCAGTGGCGATGACATTATTGGTGTTGCTTCTGTTACTAGAGATTACATGTATGAAAACAAAAATCCTAAAGGTAAAGAGCTTATGATTTTGTGTTGTCTGTGTTTGTTTAGCTAGGACCTCTCTCCAGTTCATAGATGCTAGGAAGCTTTTGTAGTGCGATTACAATGTGTAATGATGTAGAGAGTTTTTTTTTAGAGATAAAAAGTTTTCAGGCTTTTGGACAAAAACAGTCATGGCTTATGTTATTATTTCATATTTGAATCTGCCATTATGATTCCAGCTTCAATAAAAATCGAATAACAATTTTTAATTTAACGACTATTTATTTATATAATTAAACTTGGAGTTGCTCCTTTTTACATTTAAAATTTTTAAATAAACCTTTTTTTTAGGTCTTGAAACATGGCTCCCACTACAGAAAGCTAACAAAGACCTTGAGATCCAAGGAGAAATGTTACTAGAATATGGCATTCGTACATCTGAAGCCACTGGGCAGTCTTATGTCTTTGTGACAGTTATGGAAGGAAGGTAACCTATTTCACAATTTTCCGCACCTAAACTTTTATGATGTTAGTTTTTAATATTTGGTTAAAATAAATTTATTTATAATTTGGATTTTCAGGTTAAATTAATATTAAATTTTCTTCACAGAGATCTGGCAGCTAAAGATAAAACAGGATATTCAGACCCTTACGTGACTGTTACTTGTTTTGATGAGACCAAAGCTACATCAGTAATTAATTATTTTATTATCTACATTGTTGATTACACTCTTTCCTTTTGTTTTTAAATCAACAAAATATCGAGAGAAATTTTTTTATTTTGTAACGTGAATCAAAAATTTATTTACATTTCAGTTACTGTTAAATGACTTGTAATTTTATTCCTAAGCATTGTACTAAATTATAGTTTTTATTCATCCAGTCATTTTCATATCCTTTTTCATTGAACAATTACCATAGAATTTATATATATTATACTATTTGTTCTATCAAGAAACAAAAAAAGACCAGGTTTCCTGAATGGAATGAGACTCTTGAATTTTCTTTACCTGAAGACACATGTATTGCTGATCTGAGTGTGATAGTAACAGTGTGGGACAAGGACAACTTCAGTAGTGATGACTTCATGGGGCAGGTAAAGCAATGGGCAGTGGGGATACATTTAGTAAGGTTAAAACTGTGAAAAGATGGCTCTTGGGATTAGGTTCTGCATTTGTAACACTAGTTTATTGTATTAATTTTTGTACTTATCAGTTTAGACCAAAGAAAAAAATTGTAATCTTCGTTTACATTTAGGTTTCAATTAGTTAATCAATTTACATTACAAATATTAAAAATACTGAAGAGCTCTTTAGTGTTTTGCTTATTTTTAATTTTCGTGGGCAGATCGTAGTTATTTGTTGTTATAAAACTGGGCTTGTCTCCCCTTCTTTAAAAGACTATACACAAAATTCTAAACAGTAGATAGTGAAGTTACACTAAAACCCAACTACTTAACTTTTCCCTTGTCTTTATTCAGATTCACTTGGATTCTGAAGATGTGACACATGGCACCATAAGAAACTGGCACGCTGTGGCCAGGAGACCAACAAGCGACAGATGGGCAAGGAGGGCCAGGTAAGGTTTGCAGCGCCATCTTTTGTTTTCTAAATCCTCTGTATCTGTGAAACTGATTACCAGTTGAAGGGACATTACTCTGATAAAATAACTTGTACATTTAAATTATTTTAATATTGATCACACTCTCGACTCTAAATTCACTGTGTGGGGTGTTCTAATTAATTAGTAGTATTTTTAACTATATATATATATATATATATATATATATATATATATATATATATATATATATATATATATATATATACAAAAATGTTGTGTGTATTTGCAGTCGAATAGACAGAGGGAAGATCCGTGTAAAACTCCAGCTTCTAGAAGAAATAGTGCTACCTTCTTCATGTTACAGACCATTGAATGAGTTGCTGGCTGATGCTGTGAAGGTAAATCTGTGTGAGAGGGGGTGGTCAGTTCCTATCCTATTCGTGTAGGGCACGGTCAGCCTGTATCCTATTCCTATAGGTTGTGGTCAGCTGCTATCCTATTATGTAGCATATTGTCAGATCCTCTCATACCCATGTATGGCATGGTCAACTCCTATTGTACCCATGTAGGACATGGTCAACTCCTATCATACCCATATAGGACATGGTCAACTCCTATCATACCTATGTAGGACATGGTCAGCTCCTATGTAGGACATGGTCAGCTCCTATCATACCCATGTAGGACATGGTCAACTCCTATCATACCCATGTAGGACATGGTCAACTCTTATCATACCTATGTAGGACATGGTCAGCTCCTATCTTACCCATGTAGGACATGGTCAACTCCTATCATAACCATATAGGACATGGTCAGCTCCTATCATACCCATGTAGGACATGGTCAGCTCCTATCATACCCATGTAGGACATGGTCAGCTCCTATCATACCCATGTAGGACATGGTCAACTCCTATCATACCAATGTAGGACATGGTCAGCTCCTATCATACCCATGTAAGACATGGTCAGCTCCTATCATAACCATATAGGACATGGTCAGCTCCTATCATACCCATGTAGGACATGGTCATCTCCTATCATACCCATGTAGGACATGGTCAGCTCCTATCATACCCATGTAGGACATGGTCTGCTCCTATCATATCCATGTAGGACATGGTCAGCTCCTATCATACCCATGTAGGACATGGTCAGCTCCTATCATACCCATGTAGGACATGGTCAACTCCTATCATACCAATGTAGGACATGGTCTGCTCCTATCATATCCATGTAGGACATGGTCAGCTCCTATCATACCCATGTAGGACATGGTCAGCTCCTATCATACCCATGTAGGACATGGTCAACTCCTATCATACCAATGTAGGACATGGTCAGCTCCTATCATACCCATGTAGGACATGGTCAACTCCTATCATACCCATGTAGGACATGGTCAACTCCTATCATACCTATGTAGGACATGGTCAGCTCCTATCTTACCCATGTAGGACATGGTCAACTCCTATCATAACCATATAGGACATGGTCAGCTCCTATCATACCCATGTAGGACATGGTCAGCTCCTATCATACCCATGTAGGACATGGTCAGCTCCTATCATACCCATGTAGGACATGGTCAACTCCTATCATACCAATGTAGGACATGGTCAGCTCCTATCATACCCATGTAAGACATGGTCAGCTCCTATCATAACCATATAGGACATGGTCAGCTCCTATCATACCCATGTAGGACATGGTCAGCTCCTATCATACCCATGTAGGACATGGTCAGCTCCTATCATACCCATGTAGGACATGGTCTGCTCCTATCATATCCATGTAGGACATGGTCAGCTCCTATCATACCCATGTAGGACATGGTCAGCTCCTATCATACCCATGTACATGGTCAGCTCCTATCATACCCATGTAGGACATGGTCAGCTCCTATCATACCCATGTACATGGTCAGCTCCTATCATACCCATGTAGGACATGGTAAGCTCCTATCATACCCATGTAGGACATGGTCAACTCCTATCATACCCATGTAGGACAAGGTCAACTCCTATCATACCCATGTAGGACATGGTCAACTCCTATCTTATTAATGTAGGGTGTGGGCAGTTCACATCGTATTTATAAATGGTCAGCTCCTTTCCTGTTCATCTAGGGTGTGATCAGCTCTGGACTGGTTCAGAAAAAAAAATCATCTAAGGCAAAGACCTAAAATACAGTTTGCAATACAAAACTGTTTTCTTTAATATCCTCTCATCAACATGCTAAAACAAAATATTTCTGTTTGACTAGATGCCAACAACTCCACAAAGCAGAGACCTTGGCCAGTTGATCTGGGATTTGCTGGAGCAGGACAGGACAATCGAGCTGGGTGCCATCGCAATGTCTTTAGTCAGGTTTTACTTAAGCCAGGAGCTGATATTTGAGTTCCTGGATGCTGTGATTCTCAGGGATATCTCCAAGACCGATGACGTCAACACCTTATTCAGGGGTAACACCCTTGCCACCAAAGCTGTAGATAATTTCATGAAGGTAGTTAGGTTACCTGTTTTTTAATGTAATTTTTAAATCAAATTTTTTTTGGTCAACTTCACTGTTATTATATAGTGACATGTTAAACAAAAAAATAAAATACTATATCAGTTTTCTGTGATTCTTGTGATAAGTACCCCTTCTATTTTTATTTTTTAAGAAAAATTAAAAGAATTTTCTAACCCTCTACACAATTTTAGTCTTTGGCTCCATTTGGTGTTGCAGATAATTTTTATATGGGGCTGTTTCTTTCAGAAAGCTTTATTGACTTAGATTTACATACTGACATTTAAAAAAAAAAATATTCTGTTTCCACTACATTAAAGCAAATATTTTTAAATTATGTTCTTCTTTAATGCTTAAAAGATATTTAAAAAAGATGCTTTAACAAATATTCTGTTAAATGCACTCATTCTTTAAGGGATGTTCTAAATTTTAAAATTCCTACTTTCCTTAGGTGCAGGAAATGTCCAATAAGGGTTTTAATATTTCTGTTCCTACTTACCTTAAATGCACGTGATGCATTACCAGGGATTAAATGTTTCTGTTCTTACCTCCCTTAGGTGCTAGCCATGCCCTACAAAGGTTCAAATATTTCTGTTCCTGCTTCCCTTAGGTGCTATTCATGCCCTATAAAGTAAAAGTAAAGTTTCCCTTTCAAACCTCACGGTCTATGGGGCAAGTGAAGTAGAGTTCACTTGTTTCTGTGACCTCGGCTTATGAAGAGATAGTGTGGTCAGCACTATGCCCAGCCGCCTTTACTTTCCCTAACGTGAGTTAGGTACCCATCAGAGTTGGGTGGACTCAGGGACGGTCTACTGATTTAAAACCGGATTCGAACTCGAGACTTAAGGGGTTAGCAGTACAGCTCTCTACCGCTAGACCACTCTGTCCCATTCATGCCCTATAAGGTTTAAATATTACTGTTCTTACTTACTTTAGGTGCTAGCCATGCCCTATTTACAACGAGTGCTAAAACCCCCAGTAGACAGAATCATCAACGAGAAAAAAACAGTTGAACTGGACCCATTTAAAGTGAACAGTGTTCGCACGTGAGTAGTTTTATGTCATAATTAATTGTAGAGTCATGTAAACTGGCCCCTGAGATAGTTGCAGCAAATGTATGTTATGTTGGTTAAAAATATTTATATACTACAGTTGACATATTGTTTTAATTTTTTAATTTTTTATTTATATTAGGTACATAACAGTGTTAGGTCTTTAATCATGTTAGTTTTATTGTAGCACCATTAGGTCTAGTGCACTGTCAATATACATCAATGGTATATTGATATTAGGTATATAATTGAGTGATAATCTAACATGGACAAAGTCTTCATAACTTATGTTTTATACACCTTGTAACAAAACCTTGTATACACCTTGTATAAAATCTTCAATGAAAATTGTTTTCATCATTTCTTTGTGGAATGACATGTTATGTTTAAATTCTGAAAAGCAATATACATAAAAGTGTTCACCTATCAGCCATTTCAAGACCATATAGACACCTTTTCTTAGAAACATTTCCTTAGGTTTTTTACTTTTTGGTAATCAAAACACAATCTAATATGCGTGTTTAGAATTATTGGCATGGCCCCATGAAGTTGTTTAAATTTTATAATAAACGAGCCGACCCGTGGCATATCATACACCGCTATTTAGTTGTTTTATTTTCTACTTTTCAGTAATTCATAATTTGTGAATTCGACAGTACCAATGCTGCCACTGAAAATATTTTCTTTAAAACACTATCAGTAGGTCGTTAAGAACAATACTATCCCCATGTGATGGTACGAAAGGATCTTTGTTTGAGGTTCTTCTAGTTTTACCAGTTGTGAGGGTGGGGATTTTTAAGAGGGCGTCACGAATCCAATAACACACAGTTCAAGTTCCAAATACAAAGTTCTTTATTCAAATGTATATAATCATGTTTCTACTTAACTAGCCTATTCTATACTCTCTACTACTACTTCTACTACTAACTGTTTACTATACTACTAACTACGCACTCCCATGACCAATCCTAACACTAACTTTCTGTTCTCTACATAACTACGTCTGCTCCATTCTACAACCTAACACCTTCTGCCCTCTTTGCTAGCTACCTATCAACTGCCGCTAATCTCTCTACTGACCCACGCCTCAGTGGTCAGCTGACCCTCCTGTGTGACCGGTCAGTTCATTTTTAATTGGTCTCTCTCTGACCAACTCGCTATAGCCTGCTTCTGCTATCTACCTGAGCTCTCCAACGCAACCTTGCGTCATCACACCCCACCATCCTTTCCCCCAACCCCTACCCTCACCACCCTTTCCCCCAACCCCTACCCTACACCCCCCCCCCGTGAAAGCAGCCTCCTCTTAGTTACCTCCCCTAAATTTAAAATAGTTTCAAACTAAATTATCTGCCCCTAATAGCCGTCACTAAACCCGACTCTAAGAATGTAAACATTTAGCGTATACCACAGCTCACCAGACCATGTAGTGGTGGGGTGGTAGGGAGCGCGCTTACAGCTTGTTTTCTAGCGTCTCCCAGAAGAGAATTATATATATAGATGTGTACATTCTTGTAAAGATCACTACTGCTACATTACAGTAAACCTGATTGTGTTAGCTTGTGTATGATTGCTGATGTGAATGTAAAATAAAAACTGTTTTATTCTTGGACACAATTTACACATTGAGCTTCATACAGTCTGCTAGAGCAGGATTGAATGTATAAATGTAAAAATGTAACTGTTTTATTCTTGCAGGCGTCGACACAGCTTGCACCGTGAATCTGAGGAAAGTTTTGTTAACCATAGCTTGGAGGCTGTAGAGGACTACACACTGGAGATAGTCAACAGCATCGTGAGGTCAGTGACCTACTGCCCGCAGGTGCTGCGTCGTGTCCTCAGAAACATTCAGATTAGAGTCCGGGAGAAGTGGCCGGAGGAAATGTTTGAGGTGAATTTTGCTAGCTACTTTTAAAGTTTTAAAAACTTGTATTTATTTATTATGTAGTTGGAATGGAGTAGTCCATTGGTAGAGCTTGCAGTTATAAACTCAAAAGTCTGAAGTTCAGTTTTTGTATTAGTTCCTGTTATGACCCTAATAAACCCAGCTCTTATGATCAGTTGACCGTCCCTGAGTCCACCTAACTCTGATGGGTACCTAACTCACATTAGGGAAAGTAAAGGCGGCTGGGCATAGTGCTGACCACATTATCCCTTCATATGCCGAGGTCACAGAAACAAGTGAACTCTACGTCACTTGCCCTATAGACCATCAGGTTTGAAAAGGGAACTTCTTCTTCTTCTTATGATCACCCATCTCAAGTCAATATAATATAGGTGGCATAAAGGGAGCACAGTGCTGACAACAGAATCCCTTCTAGGCCTGTGTAAAATGTAGACATTTTTGCTTCATTTTTCAGATTAGAATGTTTTAATTTGGTTTTTTTCTTCATGTTTTTATTTTTTAAAATTTAAGGTAGCTTAGTTTTTCAACATCTTTTATAGACTGTATTAAGAAGTCTGAAGTTAATTATGTTTTTCAGGACGTGCCATACATAGCAGTGAGTGGATTTATCTTCCTTCGATTCTTCGCCCCAGCTGTGATGTCTCCGAAGCTGTTCTCTCTCAGTGACCAACATCCCAGCCACAAGGTCATACGCACATTCACACTGTTGGCAAAGGTAAATGTTGAAACTTGTCTAGTCTAGAAACTAACTTCATTTGTCCATCAAATTATCAGCATTGTCAGTGTTCAATAAATCATAACACCAGAGGGTGAATGCCTGTCCACAATTGATTTTATTATTGGAAATAAGTTTCTTTTTCTGGTAGAATGTTTAATAAAATATTAATTAGCTGTTTTGCAGGATTTATAAATTATTTTATGAAAATTAATTTTGATATTATTTGCTGTTCTATTTAAAAAAAAAATGTGATCTATAGGGAGAAGAAAAAAAAATTAAATTGAAAAACAAGAAGAAGCAAAAATTTAATTGAAAAACAAAGTTTTATTAGACTAAGGCTGGTGCTTTACCCCTTAAGAATGCCATTTCTACCGCACTATCATTTGTCACATCCTATTTAGCCAATATATTTTTGCAATAGCTGACTTGTTTTTTAAACCAGTGTTTTACTTTGAACGAATAGATTTATAATTTTTTCTCTCCCACCAGATTGTCCAGAGTATCGGCAATCTGACGCCAGCCACCTTGGGCAAAGAGGCTTGGATGGAACCACTGATTCCACTCATCACACAGAAGATCTCAGAGGTCAAGGAGTATTTGGACACCCTAGTGGATGTTGGAGATTTCTCAGGTAATATTTTGGACAAACTTGTAGATGTTGAGTAATTCTCATTTAATATTTTTGACACATCTCTGGAGTTTGGGATTTCCCAGCTAATATTCAAACCCATATTGGTTCACACTTAGACCTAGTTTACTCTCAAAATTTCCTAACTTTATAAGTTGTGGCTTTTTGTTCAGTATGATGTGGTATCAAAATCTTCTTGAGTATTTGGACTTAGATCACCTGAAGTATGGTATAAAAAAAGCTAAATACTAAATTAAAATTTATTTCAATACAAGCAAATTTTATAACTGAAGAACTGTTAGATAAATATAATTGTATGAATTCTTTAAGTTGGAATAAAAATTTTTGTCCAACTCTGCCGTTATGTTCATACTGAGGGAGTAACTTTCCCTGTCAACTGGTAGGTTGGGGGATCTGTTGGATGGAGCTGATTTTGGCTTTAAACCAAACCAGCATTTCAAATTAACAAAGGCTGAAAAATGTTGTTTGTACTTTTAACAGCCGCACATCGCTACTTGGTGAGGCAACAGAGCAATGAAACAGTCCTGATTCAAGGGTACCTCTACAAGTGTCACTACCACTGCAAACGTCTCTTCCGTCCTATTGTGCTGAAGAAGTGTTACTTTTACCTAACTAGGGTCATGCTATGCTACAGGAAAACACCAGAAGATGTAGGACTTTCATTTATACGAATGTAAAATATTAGTGACAAATTATGCATATTAAAACTTTTTTTTTTAATTTTAAAAAATTTATTTAGAGATGTTTTTTAGCACATTTAAAGATATAAAGAACTTTTTTTATCTATTGTTTTTCATATTTTGTATACATTTTGAAAATGTATCGTCATCCTACAACTAGGTGTTTAGTAGAGATATATTTTTAATAGGCTACAATAATCATGTAATTCTGGGTAGTAATTCTTTGCATTGATATTTAAATTGTGCTTGGCAGGAGGACACGATGGTGATGGTAGATAACATTTGTGCTGTGGAAAAGCTGGACTATGGAGCCCTGGGCAAGTCCAACATGGGCCAGATTATACACAAGACATCAGATGAGAGTACGGCCATCATATACTTTCAGGCCAAGGTTGGGCTCTTTTACTTGTTATGTAGTGAAGAAATTTCATATAAGTAACCAGGCCTATTCAAATTTTTTTATTTTTTTATTTTTTTTGAGTTATTTAAATTAAATTAAGATTAACAGTGTATCTTTGGAACAAGAGAATAAATATTGTTGACATAGGCTTAGTACTTGACAACAAATATAAGTGATCACTACAGACTTTGATATTAACTTGATTACATTGATGCTACTACATGCTTACATCTATAATACATCTATACAAAAAAACATGATGTATATGACAGTAGTAAGAAATTGATGCAAAAAATGCTATGATTCTATAGCATAAATTAAAAGTTACTTTTTAATAATCACCTTTTCTTTCTGTTAAATTGTTATCTTGATAAGATGCTATATCAGGGGTCGGCAACCTTTTGAAGCGGAAGAGCCAAAAGTTATTATTTTAAAAATTTCCCTGGTTTTAAAGAGCCACTAACATTTTCTTTATTTCAAATATTTTATTTTTTTATTAAGATTATTAGTATTTGTGCAACGAGCTGGAGAGCCGCATTTTGATATCAAAAGAGCCGCATGCGGCTCGCGAGCCGCAGGTTGCCGACCCCTGTGCTATATCATTCATTGTGTCATTTCAATGATATACATTACAATTACATACACTAGTCATTTAAAAAAAAAATCAAGCCAAAAAGAATATTACAGTTACCACTTGAATTGATTTTGAGTTATTGTTCTTGACTAGGATGTGAATGAATTAACAGCATGGATCTCAGCCATTAGAAAGACTTGTAAATACAACATGTGCAGGATTGAGACTTTTCACCCAGGTGTTTTTAAAGGAGACAAGTGGAACTGTTGTCGTAGAGAGCAAGACATTGGTTAGTTTGGTTTTTTTTTACCTGTTTTTGGTGTATCTGATTGGTTAGATCAGTGGGCATGTTATTGATAACGCATAGTATCAAGAGCTGTTCCATGGCCTGTAAGACTTTTCAAAGTCCATCCAGCTTTGATGTGAATCTGATTTAAATCTAGAAAAGTTATTAAATTCATTTTGTCCCTGTGGGCAAACAGGTGTTAGAGGGTACTTTATTTGCTGCAATAGCACACATACACTTATTTTTATGCTATGATCTGAAAGCATTAGAGAAAGCAAATATTTCTTTAAATAGTTATTTACTTACTCTGTTGTATAACAATATGAAGATTAAATTTAAATTTATTTTACTGTATTTGTGCCCACTGACAAATCTCAATTTATTTATAAACTTGTGCCTTGACGTAACTGAATGGGTTTTCTTGTTGGTTTGATAGCACCTGGTTGCAGTCCTACCTACCATGGGGTTGTTCTTGGTGATTGGCAGGACCCTCTTGATCCCGATGTGGATGCACAAATTATCTACAGTCAAATAGCTCACAGCAAGGATAAAATCAGGTAGTGTGTTAATGCAGTTAAGATATATAAATTAGATAAATGTAACGGGAGGATTGAAAATTAAGTTAAATGTAACTCAGCTTAATTTTTTGTTACATAACACAAATTTAAGTACATTTAACTATTCTTTTTTTTTTAAGAAAAAATCTCACGTAATTTTCTCTTTTGTTTAGATTACATAGGACAAAAAAGAAGTAATCAAACCAATTTTTAAAAAAAATTATTTTCATATACTTCTTTACATAATACTAAATTTTTTTATTTTTTTTTTGAAAATGTTTATGATATTTATATTTAAAATGGTATATTTTAAAGTTAAGGTAGAATTAGAATTCATACAAAATTAAAAATGTATAATTTAAAACCATAATATATTTTATTTTTAAAAATATGGACAAAGATTAGACAATTCCAGTAACTCCTCTTTATAGTTACCTCCCCTTTTAGTGAAGGATAGAAATAAGTTATTGTTCCTTTCAATAGAAAAATGCAGCATGACCTAAGAATGACACTGGCAGGCAATGACCCTGCCACCACATCAGTGCCAAGTGATTCCAATGATGCAGCAATGGCAAGCCTGGCACTTGTCTCTGGTCTCCTTGATGTCACAGAGCAGCTGGCTATGTCGCACCAAACTTTTGTTGAGTCAAGCCCTCGTCTCTCCCACACATGTCGATCTCGGAGTGTCAGCAGCAACGTCAGCGGTGACGATATTTTGTTTTAGTGCTTGGTAGTTTTTTTTTTTTTTTTTTTTTTTTTTACACAATTCACAAACAGGGCTTTTTTTATATTATAATGTAGATGTACTTAAAATTTAAAAATAATTTATTTTAAGTGTTAAAGATTGTAATTTTTCTTCTTTTTTTTTTTTTGTTAACTACTGTGTTAAATGTATTGTTTATAATTTATTTGGGTGATGACTGATTTCCAGTTTTTATCATTGGCCTGTGAACTGTGAACTTATTGAAGCAAACTGTGATCTACGGCCATGTGTTTATAAGGAGAGATTATCTACGCAGTATATAGTGTGCTGCATTTCTTTTCCAAGCTTTAAATATACCTTCTCTAACTGTAGTTGCCTGTTTTGGTAAGCGTGTATTCTTACGCTGTTATAAAAGCTGGTAGAAATCTTGGCGAAAAAAAAAAAATTGTAACTAAACATGTGATTGTAGGCACTTGCACTAAGTTTGATGTTTTAGTATTTACTTTTGGTGTGAGATGTGTGAAATCTTTTTGCTCTACTGGTACAAAATATTATATTACACCTTTTGAGGTACTGTTTTTGCTCACTATTTAATAATATTCCTTTCTTTGACTGTAATTTTTTGGGCATCATGCCCATTATTATTTCAGGTTTTCATGAAAGTAAATTTATTTGTTGCTATCTGATTAATTAAATCAAGAGGAGGTTGAATAGGGTGTTTTCTTTAACTTCCCTTTTGAGCAGTATTTAAATGTTTACTCGAAATGAATTTTGATATTTATATAATGTTTAATGTGCCATAATTCGTATTCAATTTATTTTTAATTAAAAGCATAATATTGTTTAAGTGATTATTTTAGTTATAAAGTGGGTCAGTAGACAACTTTTTTCTTTGAGGACAGTGTAATTCAGTGTTTTAATGGACCAAAAGGTGACATGCCACAAGCTGTTGTTGTCATGGAAGTTTACCTGCACATTATCAACCTTTTTGGTGATAGGTGACGTTTTTATTGCTTTTGTTAAAATTACATTCTGTCTCTAAAAATATACTGTTATATTTTAAAAGTTTTTAGATTTGCATAAGTATTATTTACAGATCTTTAATAATTCTTAGTGTTTGGTAGATGTTTTTGTAATATGTCACAAACAAATTGTAATCAGTTCTATTTTATTCTTTTTAAAAATGTTTTTATTCTTGAAATTTATTACAATTTTGAAAATGAATTGGGAGAAAACTTTTTATATAACAATGTATGTTGATTTATGATGGATACTTTTTTCCTATGTTGTTTTTTTCTATATCACTATTATCACTACACAAAACAGCTAAGAAAATTTGCTCAGGAATTTATAGTCTTTTTTTTTTTTTTTACTTTTCATTCAGCGTTATGAAATCATCCCTTTCACTTGCAAGTTACAAAAACTGTTTGTGTTAAATTGTGATCATTGGAGGCACAAGAAATGGCAACACAATGATAGATCATACTAGATAATTTGATATATTTGTAAATATTTTTGTCATGTCAAGCCACTGTTTCCCTGTTTCTTACATGGTATTATACAAATATTTACTACACATTGCCCTTACATTGTTCTATTGTAATTGAAGGATTAACTGCCTCCAAGAAGAGCTTTACATCTGTATTACTTTATATAATTATTACCATCTCCACACAGCCTATTTTAGTTTTCATGTTGTCAGGAGAAGTTACACAGTGCACCTGTTTCATATATATATATATATATATATATATATATATATATATATATATATATTATATATATATATATATATATATATTTTTTTTTTTTTTTTTTAAATTTTTTTTTTTAACCCTAGTCACACTTTTAAAAAGAATTAAATCATAGTTAGGCATTTCGTTTTAATCAGTAATGTTTAGTAGCATTCATAAAAACACTTTAAATTATTTTTAGCATTAGAAATATAATTATCACAATCTCTGGGCATTATATTTTTGGGTACAAATTTCTTGTTACATTCCAATTTAGTTGTTTTTTTTCCCTTAAACTCTAGAAGTAATTGTCTTTTTGTTTTGAGGTTAAGTTTTTTGTTTGTTTCAAATTTTGAACAAGGACATGTTATTTAGTTTTTCTAAAACACTAATTTTGGGAACTTTTTTTTTTCCTGTTTGAATTCACTGCCAAATATAGACATTTTACACTACTTTATGTATGTATCCTTTTTAAAAAAAAAAAAAAAAAAAAAAAAAAAAAAAAAATATATATATATATATATATATATATATATATATATATATATATATATATATATATATATATATATATATATATATATATATAGCCTTATTTCATCCTTAGTAGTTTAGTTTTATTTTTTGGACTATTTTCTTCTTTTCTATGATAACTTATTACACTTCTAGCTACAAGTGCAATATCGTGGGGTCTTTTTTTCTTCTACTCAAGAAAACTATTTTTTTCATTCCTGAGGTTTTCAGATTTACTGATTGAAAAATTAGTATTTATTCTGTTATTCTCATTTTATGATTCTCATCTATGAATATATTTTTAAAAATCCATTTTTTCTGTGATATATTGACTGAAAAGATTTTTCTATCACATAAAAACATTTCCATTTTTTCCAAACAAAACTTCTCTTTTTAAACATTTATCTGGCAGGTTATTTATTTTGAAGATTTTATTTAATAGACGCTTTAGAGACAAATCAGTTTTATATCTTGTTTTTATTGGAACTTTTAAGTGCTTAATGCTGAATTTTGTTGCAGTTTTTGCAGTTTCCATATATTTTAGATTATCAAATGTTAGGTCACAAAATATCCTTCATTTAAAGAATAAATTTTTTCTTTTGACTCTCAGCATATATCTGTTAGATACTTATTAAGATGAATAATTTTTTTCTTTTAATATTTACATTTTCACAAATGTTAGAACATTCAAATAGTTTTTATTTCCCCAAAATAATCATTTCTTCTCTTATTTTACTCCAAAAAAAAAATGTATGTAAATATCAAGTTGTGCTATCCCCTTTGGTGTACTTCTCAGCCATTTAATTTGCTTCCAATGCAAGTTAATGGTAGGCAGCGATATGTTAGACCAAGGTTTTGACACGGAGATTAAATACAACTTATTTTGTATTTATTCGTTAATAATTTATGTATTGGCTCATATAAAAAACGGATTCATACTTAATTATTCTGTAATATACATGACATTTAACAATGGCTGATTAGTACCCCACAAGGGGAGAGTATCAAATGGGTTCAATTATCTCCCCTATGCATACCTAAACCTGATGCTGCCTACTACTAATACATAAAGAAAAGAAAATCAAAATTTGTTGGTTGCAATAGTTTGTTCTTACCAGATCACTGCATGTTTAACCACAAGATTGAGTTGAACTTTTTAATTATATCATTCATGCGTATACCAAGTAATAAAGCTGTGTAATGGAAGAGGCTAAAAGAAAATTATTTAAGGTTGAAATAGTGACTGGTTGGTGCCTTATTGCATTCACTTGAACATGCTCTATCAAACACCTTTTGCTCCTGAAAATTAAAAAAAAAAACAATTTTTGTTTTTTTTTGTATCTGTCGCCCCATTTTCAAAGCTTGCATACATTTCTTTACCTTCATGATACATCAAGATATCAAACTTGTCACTTCACAATGTTACGTTAAAAAATGTCAAGCTTTCCACAAACAAGTTGTTAACAAGAATCACTGTTACACTGAATTGATATTGCTTGTGACTATAGCAAACTGAATACAATCCTCTACTCTTAGATATCGTGTGCCTTTCCCTATTCAATCCCTTGTATTGATTTCTCTTGTCATGTGACATGGTTGGTGTCTGAATTAGGACAAGGTCAGTACCCTCACCACGTGTTTGTTGTTATATTGAAAAATGTGTTTTTTTAACGTCCAATTTAAATTTAAAAAAAATAGTAAGTTTTACATTTTAAAATCTAGCAGACTGACCAATTACAGTTTGTTTCATTTATTGTAATACTGAAAATTTTTAATTTTTTTTTGTTACAATTTTATCCATTTTAGCAAACCAACCATTTATTTTTTATATAAAAGTACTTTAAAATTTTTATTCCTAAATTGATCAGGAAAGAAATTATCAGATGTATTGACTTTTAAAAGAAAAATTACATTATTATGGTGTTTTAGTACTTTTTACATGTTATTAGAAGTAGGAGGTATTTTGCTAGCAAAGCAATGAGGATTGCTGATTATTTTTTAACACCCTGTATCGCTTCAACACTCCTTTTTATTACACTAATTATTTTAGCTGCTAATTTTTAAAGAAAAAAGAATGTAATACACTCAGTTTTTTGTTAATTTTTTTAATTACTCACTATGATTACATCATGTCAGTGAATGAGATAAAAAGAAATTTGATTCTCTATACTATACATCTTTATGTGCTAGTACTACTTTTTAAATTGCTCCATGTGTACCCATCCCATTCGTTTTCTTCTCTCTATTTTTTATAGCCTGCAGAAGCTATTAGCCCCATTCATTCATTTTCTTTTCTCTTTTAACATTGAATCCTTCATTTTCTACTCTTGAAAGGGTTTGTTAATGCCTATTAGCAATAATTGTTATCTGCACTACATACTATTGATATTGCCTCCCTTTTTTCTGCTTTTATGTGATATTGTTTCCCTTTATCACCTTGTATTTTTAATGTGATTTAAAATAATTGAAAAAAAAAAACTCTTACTTAAAAAAAATCAATGGATATTTTTTTCATTCATTACAAAATGTTTATTATCACCGCAAGCTATGTTGGTGGTTGTTTAATTTAAGCACTCCAGATTACTATTAGTGTAGTGTGGTCTGTCCATGACCTGCTTTAATTAAACTGTTGTTCAGCACTTTCATTTTTTTTTATGGTGTTAACTTTCTCTCCTGCTCCTCTGGTTTCATTCTTGAAAAGTTTTTCTGGCCAAGCATGTCACACTTTCTTTGTCTGATCTGGACTATTAGCCTTCCATTAGTGTCCTACACCCAAACATAAGTAAATATAGTTTTTTAATTTAAAAAAAAAAAAACAATTGTATGTGAAAATTTTTTGAAATTATTAAATGTTTGCAAACAAAGCAGAATATATTTCTTAAAGTAGTTTTTTTTTTTATATTAACTTTCTGGCGTTCTTTAATTTTTAAAGAATCAGGATTGATTTTGTTTGTGAGTACATTTTTAACTATAAATTAGTATAAATAACAATTTACAAAAAAAATAACTTTTTGTTAAATTTTAAATACTGATTTGCAAATCTTAAAACAAATGTTGGCTAGTCAACCATTATGTAGTTAGGCATTTTTAGGCAAACAACCTGCACATGTAGTTTAAATCCCAGCACGGATAAAAATCTGGAGCTGCATGTTGGGCTTCTGTGTTGATCCTACTGTATACACCATTGAAATTGTGTTGTGAAATCAATCTGGCCTTTAACCTTTATTACAAACTCAGTGAAACATCACCCGTTTTTGCTGTAGTTTAAATATCCTATGTGCATTTAGTCTTCTCTTTGCAATATATGACTGTATTTATCTGTAAAATGCACAATATAGTATCTGCCCTATCAAAACATTTCAAGTATCTTATAAAAATTGTACTGCATGATTTATTTTTTTAATAGCAGTGAAATTTGGAAAGACATTTTTTTTTTCATATTTACCTGTATGTGTTCAGCACCATCATTATTTAAAATGTTATTTGTATACAGCAGCACTTAATACTACATCTCCTTCACTAGCCCTCCCTGCCTTCCTCTAGTGTTGTCTACACAGTGTTGTGTTAACTCCCAATTGCCCGTATATCAAGGAAAACAACTTTTGGTACAAGGATATATATATATATATATATATAAAATCTTCATGTATTTAAAAGTACTTTGACAATTATTATTCACAAATTTAAACCATGACACCTTTACACCTCAATTTATGTTGTACACACAATTATTGTGTGAAGAAAATGACCAATCATACTGTTCATCTTAAAAAAATTTCTTTCACTGACTTGTATTTTGTATTGTTTCACTTTTTAAAAATAATGAACTGATTTTTTTTTAAGTATTAATGTTAATGAATGTTAATTTTATTTTTCAGAATTTTATCCATGTATTTTAAAATTTTACCCTTCCACATTTTTATATATTTAGTTAGGTAAGGGTTCATCAGCTGTGATTTGCATAATAAAAATGACACTCTCATGAATTCCAAAGCAAGTTATAAATAATTAAGTTCAACCTTCTCAAGTATTTGAAAATTTCAAAACAAAATAAATATATTTTTAGACTCATGGGAATTTAAAATCTTCAGTTATTATTCATTTCAACTATTATATACAATGTGTGCAATAAAAATTTGAAAACAAGTTACTTGCACGATTTTGAAAGCTTGATGAAATATTTTTGTTCTGTATGCCTATGTTGAATAAATGTCATTAATATAGGAATATAAAATTCATTTTTAAAAATTATCCTATAGTACATCACTGCAGTAAGGAGGCAGTTGATGTTCACTATGTCCTATGGACTTGTGGCTGGGAACTGAACTTGAGACATTCGTGTAAGTATCTATTTGTTCCACCACTCAGCCCCACTACCCTATCTTAGACATGGTAATGTGAAAATACACACATCTGCTGATGTATTCTTACATTTTGTTTGCGTTGTATGGCCCAGGGAGTAGTAATTTAGAATTAAGCCTAACCGTAAGCTGCTTTTACACATGCAACATGTATACTATAATCGACTAGGAAAAAAAACGTCACCATCAGCTACATTTATCAGAACATGTAGGGGGGGGGGTGGGGCTACTTGCATATTGCGAAGTTTTTTTAAGACATAGTATTCATGTGGCAAGTGTAAACGAGGTGTTAATTATTATTACAGTACCCCATCTCTGGACCCAATAGTCAGATGAATTAGAGCTTATTTGTTTCTTTGGACTCAACCACAGTGAAACTTAAAAGATAAAAACACACTCAGAGATAGATAAGCATACCCAGTGATAAATTTGGATCAGCTGATAAACTTTTTAAAGTGATACATCATTGATCACAGGATACACATCTCCATAGCTCAACATTTTGATCATCAGGAGCTATCCCAAAGACATAAAAAAAAAAGTTCCCTTACAAACCTAACGGTCTATAGGGCAAGTAAAGTAGAGTTCACTTGTTTCTGTGACCTCGGCATATGAAGAGATAGTGTGGTCAGCACTATGTCCAGCCGCCTTTACTCTCCCTAACGTGAGTTAGGAACCCATCAGAGTTGGGTGGACTCAGGGACGGTCTACTCACTTGAACCCGGGTTCGAACGGGTTAGCAGTCCAGCTCTCTACCGCTAGACCACTCCGTCCCTAAAGACACATCAGGATCATCATACACACAGAGAACACATACATATAACCTCACCAATTGAAAACACAAATTCATGTGTGCAACAGTACAAAATAAAGTGTGTATTTACACAAATCAGTAGGAACATTTGTAAGCTTGTTACACATTTATAAATCATTTTAAAATGTGGCATATTTGTTTAAAAAAGAAACACTCATATAAGCATCAAGAATATCACACAAATAAAATACTACGAATTCCCAGGCTGAATTTTAATCTTGAGTGTAACTTAAAAATGGCTGACATTTGTTATACACATTTTTAAAAACAAAATGGATGATATATTTTAAGAAAAAGAAAATAACTAAACTCTCTCTTACACTAAGCTAAACAATAAGACAAATTATTACTTAAAAATTAAACATGATATATGAATACTATACAGTAACTCAATGCAAAGCAACTAGAAATAAAATGCTTTCAGTAAAAACAAAAACGTTAAAAAAATTTAACTTTTAGTTTTTAACAAGTTGGCATTTAAAATGTTGATAAAAAACTGTGACCCGGGATGATGAATGTAGTTCATATTCTATAGCAGAAATATTTTCTGATTACAACATACTGACATACATATTACTCATGAACACCTCATTATTGTTATAACTTGATACATCTAAAATTTTAAAATAATTCAAGAGAGGGCCAATTATATTTAGGACGGATGTTATTCTGTTGTTACACACTAAAGTACCGTTTTATAAAAATAATAATTTTTCTTAAAATCATTAACCCAAGTTGTTTTTGTTTATTTTAGATGGGAATGTAAAATAGTTTTGTTGAATGTAGCACATGTATAAAATAACATAATAATCACAGGGAAAAATAACTTGCAGTCATGGTATATAAAATTTATATAATGCTTTCAGACACAGGAGAATACTTTTAACATTCTTTTAAAATGTGAATTGTACAACAATTCTTTACAATATTAAATACACTTTGTTTATATGAACCCAAATTAAACAAAAGCCCACATTACTGGTTGACTTTGTTTAGTCAATAAATTCAATACAGACTATTACAACAATTTGTTGTGCGAATAGCGTTTACAGGAATGTGGGTTCTTAAAGCACACCATTTTGTTTTGTTTTTGTAAATAGCGTAAATGTTGATGATAAGCATAGGGTCTAAGCTAAATGAAAATATTTTAAAGGTGTTTTTATTTAAAGTTTTATGACAAGATTTGTTGCAATCTGATTTTTAAAATAGTTAAAGAAAATGACTTCACTAGTTTTTCCACATTAGAAAATGTAATAAATTATTATTCTAGTGATTTAAAATATAAAGCATCAACATATATCACCATTAAAAAAAATGTTTCTTACACTACAAATTTTACCTTTCAGCTAATTTAATGATAATTAAACAAAGCAATTATGCAAGTATTTGATGATCATAAATTTGATAGTATGTACATTTGTTATAACTTCCAGTCCAGTGAATATTCATTTGGTCATTGCTGTTAAACATGAAATCCTAACATAATACTGCAAATTTAGCATCCAGAAAATATAGAGTAAAAGTTTTTCCCTAAAACTTACAATAAAAAAATAAATTCAAAAACTGAATAAAAAATTAGGAATGTTAAATTCCTGTTTTATATGGCCCTAAAATTCTTAAGAATGTCCCATTAGTTAATTATAAAATAACTCAAAGAAAGTGAAAGTTACGAAAAAAAACAATTTTTTAAGAAGTAAACTCTAGTTGTATGGAACAGAGTTAACAACATAATAAATTATAAGTTTTCTCTGAGATTTCTCTCGCTAAATCTAATTTCTATGAAAAGTATGGGAACTGGAACTTTGATATTTTAAGAATTATAGTATATTCAGCTTAGTGTGAAAGGAGGGTGGGGAGGGGAGGTGGGGAACTAAATCTAACAATCTAACAAGAGGGATGTAAACATTGTTATAAATGCAAAACTTTATCAATGGGAACTGCCTGAAACAATCTGGCTATATCAGGGGTCGGCAACCTTTTGAAGCGAAAGAGCCAAAAGCTACAATTTTCAAAATTTCCCTGGTTTTAAAGAGCCACTAAACATTTTTTTATTTCAAATATTTTATTTTTTTATTAAGATTAGTAGTATTTGTGCAAGGAGCTGGAGAGCCGCATCTTGATATCAAAAGAGCCGCATGCGGCTCGCGAGCCGCAGGTTGCCGACCCCTGGGCTATATGATTAATTATTGCAACCTCAACAGTCGAGTTTAAATATGCTACTATTTAAGTACTACTTTAAAATTCAATTAGCATTTACAATCTTTGATAAAATAGGGCATGAGTTTATTAATGTTTATCAATACCTAATAAAATGGTAAAATCAGTATAAAATAAAAGACACACAAATACCATAAGATAAACTAAAATACACTTAATTTTCTAACCCAAATAGATAAAGGGCAATAATTATTGTTGAAGGGCTATGAATTGTATTGCTTTTTTAAAATAAAAATGTTTCTTAAGATTAGTGTTAACAGTCAACGATTTAAATACTAAGGAACACTTGCGTTCCAAGTATGGCAATAGATTTTTAACATAAAAATAAGGGTATACTATTTAAGAAAATGTTTTGTAATATTCTAAAATTGATAATTTATTAAAATCAAAATCTCAATCATGGATGTACTTCACCTTACAACAGCTCAGGTTTGCCAATAAAGGCTAAAAAACAAAACAGTTACATTTTAAATAAAAATCATAAACTAAAACAGCTTTCACTTGAGTACATATAAAGGGGGTTTACGTATAAGGGGAGTGAACTAATAAAATGTGAACAATAAAAATGATTTTGCATGGATCTTGCCATTTGAGGTGCATCAGCAGTAGACACATAATGAACGATTTTTTAGCAAGTTCACTGGGACCGTAAGTTTATACGTAACATTTAATAGCAAAAAATACAACACCCAAAATATTTCCAGAGTGCAAACTTACTAGGTGATTTTTCTCATCTATAAAAAAAAAATTCACACACAAACTTTTTTTTCTCTACTCTTGAAGACACACTTGCAAGGTCATGGGTTAAAATGTAATACTAGTTAATTACTATGTAGCTGTCATTAAGGCAGAGTAAAAAAAAAAATGTGGTTATTCATACAATGAAAACTACTAAACGAACAGTTAATCTATAGTTGATCTTAATTTTGTAGTTGCCATTATGTACAAAAAAAATATATATTATCTTAAAATCATTTTAAAGATATTTTTTTTTCAAGACTGACAAGCATTATTCTATTTAAGTAATAAGATGTATCTGTAGGTAGATGAGATGGTATTTTCAAAGAAGCTACCATCTTGTAGCATAGCTGCTGGAGAACTTGCCTTCTGATATACAAACACAAAGACATAACATTTCTAATGAACTAGAAGAACAGGGCAAAAAACACATAGCTGACTAGAGTATATTAAGAATGATACAAATAAACAAATGATTACAGGAGACACTCAGAAGACACACTCGCTAAAAAAACCTAAAACTATATCTCCAGACATTCAAGTGATTCTTTAATGGAAATGGGTTAAAACTTAAAGTAATGTAAAATAAAGCATGGCAGCTGGGGAAAAACAACCTGGTTTTGTTGACAGAAAAACTCTTAGACACAAGAGGGGGGGGGGGCATGATTTTAATACTGTAGCTGATATTAAAGAAACTTTTTATAAAAAGGATTTGTTTTATTAACAGAAATGAGATTCATCATCTGGAATTATTTTTTTGCTAATTTTTTAATTTATCTAATTAACTTATACTTCATCTAGAAAAATACATTTTAAGCAAAATAAAAATGTAAAATTATAATTTGATTATCTTCAGAGATTATAACACATTACATGAGAGTTTATCTAAAATAAGGAATTGACCAATGTGTAAGCGATAACAGAAATTAACAGTGAGATCTAGATAACTTGCTATATAAAATAACTAAAGGACATTATTTTAAATACTGAATCGAACAGTTGGCTACGATTAGCAAAATTTAACTAAATTTTTACTCTACATACAACTAGACATTGAAATAATCTGCAGCTAATTTCAAATAAAACATTTTTTTTACTAATCAGTAGTTCCTTTAATAGAACCAGTCATATTATACAAAATAATTTCAGGAAAAATAAGCATTCCATTTGTTAAATACTTATCTAGTCTTCTTTTTTTAATCTTATATCTATTCACATACCCAGAAATCATAACTGAATAGATTATTGTTATGCTTTAAATAATATATATAAATATATATACACATATAGCACTGATGATGACGTATCTTAAAATTAATTAACACAATTAAAAACATAATGCTAAAAATGACATGTTTACATCAAAGCTAAAAAAAAATCATCATTTTCCAACAAGCCACCCTTAACAAATATTTATCCAAAACACATTTTACAATTGTACGAAACAGACAAAGGAAGATACAAACTGATCATTGAAGCCAAGGCTGCTTTGACGCGTCGCTACGCGGTGTCGATGCGAATCAAACGTAATTTAAAGTTGTCTGCTAATACGCATGCTGCCTCGTTGGATCCGCCACAGTAGCGGGAAGATGAGAAGACTGTCAGAAGCTTTCCCTGCTGTTGTACCTGAGAGAAAAAAAACATTCATACAGTAAAAAGTGTTTAATTCAAAAACAAAAGTAAAAAAAAAATTTTTTTAAATATAAATTTTTTTTTTTAGAACAATTAATAGTAAAATCAAAAAAACAATATTTCAAAAAACAAATCATAAATAAAAAAATAAACTTTATAATTAGAAAAACTAAAATAAGGATTTTTTTCTTCAGGAGAGTTCACCATTATACCTCCATGTCATATAGCTTGAGATATATCCTAACACAAAAAACTTAGTTCCAGACCTGAAGTGTATGGCTAAGCAAATTGTGAATAAAATCTACCTTGAACCCAGCTTCTTGCACCTCATGAGCCCTGATTACATGAGATAAGCCATTTCTTTCCAGGAAATTACAGAGAGCCTCGCAGCTAAAGAAATGGGCTGTCCCACGCCTTGTGTTAAATGCAAAGCCATGATTCTCCTTGAGTTGTTGAATGCTTGCTTCTGTTAGGTTGTCAGAGCTGCTGCTTAAATAAATAAATAGCCACATCCTTAGTTTATCTTTGAAATGATATTAATAAGTCTAAAATCATCATGTAAAACACAACATTAATTTAAAAATTGTCAAAAAATAAATTTAAAAGCCCTCACAGGATAAAAATATTTAGGTAAAAAGTTCTTTTAGATATTGAAAATATAAGTATTCAATATTAAAAATCATTGTATACAGAAAGCCCCAAGTTATAAATGACCATTTTAAATCATATATATATAAAATTTACTATCTAAATTAAATTTTCGGGTTATGAACAGCATGTAAGTTTGTGCTTGCTTTTCTGACTCAATAGACTTAAAAAGTATACAATAACACTTTTAAGAAGAACATGGATTTTAATTAATAGCCGAACTGCAGATTTATTGAGAAATTGAGTTTTTGTGGTATTCATTAGTTATGTAAAAACAAATTGTACAGGTACATCTATTAACTTTTATAATCTCTTGATAACAATGAAGAGAATTGTACACATTAAACTTACTGAGGTGTGACAGATGGAATAATTACCTTAATGGGTCACTCCACAGGAGCTCCCAGGCCAAAGGGCTTTCAGTTTCGGGGTCGGAGAGCGGAGATGGGATCTTGTTGATGGCTTCAATGTTACCCCCTTCATTCTCTGGGCTAGGGATGCCCCCATGAACACAGAACACCTGGATTATAAGCAAAAATAAATACATGTTGTGCGTCCGCAAAACTATTGAGATGGTTGTACTTACTATCTGTAGCATTAAAAAAAACTAACACTTGCAGCATAGAATGAAACTATTCTTCTTTCTTTTTCGTTCTTAATTGTAATGTTGGAAGAGATTTCCTCCTTCACAATTAAGAACTATGAGCCAGCTTAAGCATCTAAATAAGCTGGCTCAAATTTCAGCCTGATATCTATTCTGGATTTGCCTTTGTCCAACCAAACTCCAAAGCACATTTTGGAGTTTTCTCTCATAGATGGGTTGCTGTCCCCTAGGGACTTTTTGTATTAGAAACCATGAGTTTTACCGCCCCGACCACGCCGACCTCTATGTATTCAGTTTTTTCTTTTTGGAAATGTTTATACCCACAGCCCATACACCCATAGCTGACAAAAATATTAGATCTACTTTTTTCTTAAATAAAATTTTTGTAAAAAAAAGTTACCTAACCTTAAATTGTATCTAATTTCAACAGTAGGTCTACTGTTTAAAAACATTTAATTGTTGAGAATACTGCCAGCAAGGAGGTTATCAAAACACCATGAACAGAGATGTAGCTGAAGTACTACTAGATCAGATACACCAACCATGCATGTGGTTATACAGTGACTGGGCTTGGGGGATTTAAGTTTGATAAAATTATAATACTTTTAAAATACTCTTTTCAAAAAACAAAACGTGGGGAAAAATAAGAAAATGAAAAATATCTATAAAAAACTTCAAATAAAAATTCAAATCTGATGAAAGATTAGGATTCACCAAAATTTAAAGAGCCACATCCCTTATAAATATTTTAGTTACTTCAAGCACAATTCTTTACCTTATCATCTACAGTGGCTGCGATAGGCATAACATCAAAACACTCATTGACAGCATCCCAGATCTGCAAGCCCATTGTATCACCAAACTTTTCTAAACATTCCCTGTTGAATCATCCAAATTTATTATTAACAGATCAACATTAGTCAGTCAACATATACACAATCACCGAAAAAAGCTGAGTTTAATAGATATTAAAATAGGCTGAACATGACATTGAGTTGTATTACAAACAGTGTTTCTTCCAGACTTTTTTCACCAGGGGGGGGGGGGGGGGGCACTTGAAATTTTCAGGGGGGCGGTAGACTTTCTTCGGAGGGCACGGACACTGTTAAAAGTATATATTTTCTATATAAATTTCATTTAGTTTGGGGGGGGGGGGGTCAAAAGATGCCTGGAAGAAACTCTGATTACAAACAAGACTTTCTGGATAGCAATCATGCACCATGCCACTGGACCATGATGTCTCACAATGAATTTATACTTACGCCTTAAAATGGAACATTTCTTGCACACTTCTCAGCTCATGGTTTCCTCTCAACATGAAGAATTTGTTCGGGGCCAACAATTTTTGAGCAAACAAATAGGAAATAACCTACAATAGTGAGATAGAAAGTTACTGGGCAAAATCTATATGAAACTGTTGATCATTATAAAAGAAGAGAAAGTCTTGGAAAAAATAATCACAAACATTACCTAATATATTTATTTTACATTCATACTGAACAGAGTATGTTTAGTTTTAACTTAGTAATTAGTTTAAATTTTCACTAGCATTTAGGTAGTTATGTCATAGTTTTAATTAAATTTAAATTGTAATAAGCATTTAGATAGTTATTGTTGTATTGGTATATAATATAGTTTAGTACATACTCAATAATAAAAAAGCCTATTATACAAAACCAGTGTAAAAACAGCTAAAAGACAGTTATTAACCCTCCAATTAAAACAAAAATTAATATATATAGCTTACAATATTTTCATTTATGTTGCAGGATAAAAATAAATATCAATAAAGAATTAAGTTCAAACAGAATAATTTACAATTTGACATAAATTTGACTAATGGGCTTGATTTGATAAAAAAAGAACTGACCTCAACACCATAATCTCCCCTGTCAACATAATCCCCCAAGAATAAAAATGAAGCAGGAGTTAGATTAGGGCCCATCCTCCATAAAGCCTTCTCAAAAGACACCAAGTCACAGTAGTTCCCATGAATATCACCTGGTGAGTTTCAAACAATAGTTTTGAATGGACTATTTCCAAATTTAAAAAAAAAAAACAAATAAAAAAATAAACTAGCTAAATACCTAGAATGTAAGTTGGCGAGCGAAGCTTTAGCAGTCGAGGTTCTTCAGAGAGAGATTCTTTGACCTGTCTACATACTGTTAACAAACATTTTGCTAAGGCATTTCTGTCCACAGGACCCCATTCAAACGCAGGCTGTTGAAGATAAACACCATAGCAATTATTGGGAAAGATAAAGGTTTCAATTTTATGTATATATATATATATATATATATTAAGTATAAAGTAGTGTCTACTACCACTTAGCTAAGGAAATTCAAATAAATTGATAGTTAATTTGATAGAAATGTTTTTTAAATACAAAGCTAATCCAATTTACAGTTAAATATTTAAAACACTAAATGACAATATCAGAGTTTTATTAAAATCAAAATGAACAGAATATAAGACAATTTATTTGATTCTGTAAAAGCTTGTTTCAATTGATAAAGTGTAATGTTTATAAAAGCTCAATCTAAATATTCCCAATCATTTGCAATATAGGATGCCAGGGCCGGGCAACAGAGTACATGACCAAAACCAAAAGTTTTGAGTTTGGATTTCTAGTCCACTATGATGGGTGGCTGACTAACATTAGGGAAAGTAAAGGTAACTGGACAAAGTACAGATAATACTATATTCACAGAAACAGATGAATTTTACTTAGTCCGCCCTACTGAGTTTTAGGTTTGAATGAAAGGGTAACTTTAATGTTTCTTTTACTAACCAGGGGCAATAATTCACCCAACAATGTTTACCTTGCCACTTGCACCATTGTCACTTTTTGCAGCTCTTTCAAAATACCTTAACCCTGTCAACATTTCATTGGGGTGTGATCTCTGAAATTATAAACAAACATTAAAAAACTACCCAAGTGGTTATATTTCATAAAACTTGGAAAATACTTTACTTCATCGCAACATCCTTTTAAAAACGGAATTAGTTTTTCTCAAAACTATAAAATTACACTAAAGTACTTTTTCCAGTGAGCCTTCAATTTAACATTCAATTAAAAAAAAATAATTGAAGAATTGCTTTTTTTAAACCTTTGTAATTTTTATACCAAAAATAAAATAAAATAGAAACACAACATATAAAATGTGTAATGTAAGAATTTGGTACCTGATTGAAGGCATCTATTGATGAAAGCCTCTGGAACCTTGAGATGTCACCTTCCAGGTGATTGTTGGCACTGCCACTCACAGCAGGTGTACCTGTACACAGACAGAAAGACCCAGGTCACAGTTTGATTACATAAGCTCAGGTCATACTGATTTGACAATTTAAAGTTTGCTGGATTTTAACACTCAGTAGTATGTGTTCAAATTCAAACAACTAAGTGTTTGAAAGACTATAAGGGGATCAGAAAGGTTGAGTCGGTATAGCTCATGTTTGCTAAACCAAAAAAGTCCCGAATTCGAACCCTCAGGCAGATGAGGTTTGACAGCTGGGGACAGCAATTCTTCTAGGAGAGACAACTCCAAAATCAAACAAATGCTGCCTTGCAGTTTGTTCTTGGTTAAACAAAGGCTATGAAAGCAAATCCAAAAAGAAAACAGGCTGAAATTGGAGTCAACAGCCTATATGGTGCATAACCAGTTGACATGCATACTTAATTGAGTTGGAGGGAATCTCTGTCAACACTAAAATTAAGAACGCAGAAGAAGAAAGACTATAACCGTATGTTTGCATATTTTGTGTAGTATATAATAAGTCTAGTATTCACTTAGCAAAATGTTATTTAAACATTTACTTTTTAGAGATATCACAAATTAAAATATTTACCTTCATGCTGAAAGAAATAATCATATAATTTTTACTCTGTATTTCAAGCTTTATCTCCAAAGAATTTATATTCCAAAATTGTTTTTATTACCCCTCTCCAAATGTATATAAATATGTATAATTTTCAAAATCTTTATATTCTGGTAATGTTAGAAAAATGATTTAAACATGAAAACAGTGAAGCTTGTAATTGTAAGACACCAACCTTGTAGGTCCCAAAGAGCCATGACATCTGCTAGTGCCCCTGTCCTCTTCACTCTAACTGTGTGAGTTGCCAGATCATATTTGGCAACTTTGGATGAAGCTGATGAAGGAGCTCTGCCTTCTGGTTGCTTGAAGATAGGATCTGAAATTTTTCAAAAGAAGATATTTGAAAAATCTTAGATCAATGAAGAATTATAGCTCATTTGACAAAATTAAACAAGATCTCGATTTTTTGAACATACGTGTACTCATGCAAATATATGGAAAAGCTAAGACCACTGAGGAATTATGGTTGATTTAACAAAATTATTCAGTACCTGAATTTTTTTTAAAGAGGTTTATACTTGTCAATATTTGGAAAAACTAAAATTGATAAAGAACTATAGTTACCATCTTTTTCAATAGGCTTGTCTTTTGGTTTCTTGTAGTCTAACAACTTAGGCCTTGATCGTTTGGTTGGGGGTTCCTCTTTGCTGTCACTGTCACTATCACTGAAAGGGCTCCCTTCTCTGGCCCTGTCGTAAATTATAAATGTCAGTTATGCAAACCACACAGGCTAAAATTAAATTTATTCTCTAACATTAAAAACATAACACACATTTATATTAAAATAACAATAAAACTTTCCAAGGATAAAAATAACATTTTTTAAAGTAGCTTGTATTCTATTGATCTTATTCTATTAGCTCAACTTTTCTGACACAGAAAAACAACTTCCACCTAATGTCAAACTTAATGACAGGGCACAATAAAAAGACAACTTACAGACGTAGATTTGTCATGCATGACTGAGGCAATCTAAATAAAATAGAAGTGCCTCTGAATTTTAAAGAGCCAACAGCAGTCAAGAAATCCCCACTTGATAATTTGTTCTTGGTTTCTTCTCCAAATACCCTAAAAAAAAAATAATCAACTGCATTAGAGACATGCTAAATAGTTTTGTTAAAATCTGTCAAATATTTTAAAAATATTTCTAAGATATAAGCTAAAATGTGTGGAATAGTCATTTTGAAAAAAAAAGAGGACTTGAAACAACAAAGCTAGTTTAATCTTTCAAGCAGTGATTAAATTATAGGCCAGTTTTCAAATAAAAATTAAACCAAAAATCAATAAAATCTTACTTGGCACTGTTGATTGCATCCTCCATCAAAGAGGCATCATCATTTGGTAAGCCTTTATGGTCTCTGATGTCTTTCACCATCATCCTACAAAATAATCATTGTATAGACTCTGTAATAAGGGCTAAAATAGTTTTATATTTTTCTTATTTACAATTAAAAAATTTAATTTTTTTTACCCTAACTGAAAACAATAATTTCCAGAAGTTTGAAGAAACAAAATAGAAAAAGGTGATGTTTTTTATATTGCACCTCAATTGTGATACACAATACCGAATATTATTTTATTATTGTATCTCAAGAACGGTGAGTCTGTTACCCCTTTTTAATATTTGTTGAACAATGTTTTGCAATGATTATCTTAATCAGTCCACTTAATGGGTTAGGAAATTAGCATTTTAAAAAACAGTGGTGGGGGGATGTGGGAGTTGAGGTTAATAACAATTTAAAAAAAAACAACAGCTTACTTGAACTCCTCAAACTGCAGAAAGCCATCGGAATTTTTATCATAATATCTGAACATGAAACGACACCTCATCTCCGCAGGCAGGCCTCCATGCTGTGTACAAGGCTCCAGGGCTGCTAATCCATGTAGGACATCTTTGTATGTCAGCATGAACCTCTTATGGGAGTCAAATGATCTGAAAGTTTGGTATGGACATTTTTATTTTGGCTGCTAATGTTTCTAAAGACTGATATAAGGAGTAAAATAAATCCAGACATGAAAATCAATGTAGCAGATGAATGAAAATGTGTTTTTCTCATGCTGGCTACAGAAAGATCAAGTAGCTAGCTTTGTTTCTATTACTTACCACCTACAAATGGAATATATCTTAAAGATCTATGTTAAATCCCACTCTGAACCAAGAACTGTTTGCACCCATGAACAAAACAGATGTATTGTACTACCCAGTTGCAGTACCTTTTTAAGATTCATATTCAGAAAAATAGATAGTTAAGATAGTATAATTTGATAGGGTCTCCATTAGATAGTTTAATTTTATACGGCCTCCATAAGAACATAGCGTAAACAATTATATTTGTTTTAAATTAGCTGCTCTAAACCACCAAAATTATTCAGAAGTGTGATAAAGCACTCCAGGTTTTAAACTATTGTTTTTAAAGATGATATAACTATTATAACTGTTTCTCACCTGAACAGTTCTGGAATTGTGTCAAGTCTGGCACCCTTACAGCTTGTCATGTAGGAAGAAAATGTAGCATAGTTCATGTACTGACTAGGATGGCAATATTCAACAAACTCTTGAAACAGTGACTCTTGTTCTAGGGATAATAATACAACTGATACTGCATTCAGGTTTAAGGAAAAACGAGAATTACAACAGACCTCTTGTATGTTTAATACATTTTAAAAAAAAATTTCATTGCCCATTACATATTTTTATATGATGGTGTGGCGGGGCGATAGAGAGCTTGCCTGCTACGACAAAAGTCTTGAGTTGGGATCCCCTGGCTCAAGTCAGTAGAACGTCTCTAAATGCACCCAGCCCTGATGGGTATCTGACGCACGTTAGGGAAAGTAAAGGCGGCTGAGCATAGTGCAATCACAACATCTCTTCATATGCAGAGGTGACAAAAACAGGTGAACTCTACTTCATCTGCTCCATGGACCATCATGTTCAAAATAGTAGCTTTCTTGTATATTTAGATATACATTTTGCAGTTCAACATATTAATCATCAAGTGGGATTATTCAACAGTTTAATATAATCTACAAAAAAAAACCTTTTACAAAGATACCAATTACTCTACTAATTTCATGTATATAATTTTCATGATTCCTCCCTTTCTGATTGTGCACATATAAAACAGAAAAAAAAAGTGAAACTTAGCACATACCTTTTTTGCCTAATTTAGCAGATTTGACTAAGGCTTCATGTGCAGACATTGTAGGATTATCTACACTGATGTCATAAGGGTCAGCACTTAACTCACCCAAAGTTGTGGCAGGGAGAGCAACACCTGTATCAGATGAGGTGTCAACATTACAGCGACAAGTTCATTGAAAAGTATACACAAATTTCTATTTAGGTTATTGATATTCATAAATAAAGGATGGACATTTGGTAGTATTTAAGATCCATTTAGCATCAAATAAACCTCCTGATACTGACACACACAGCTTTAGAATTTTGGTTAACTTTTAAAAAGAACAAAGATGGAATGGATAAGGTACATTTTGCATAGTTCCAGTGTTTATTTAAGATATATCTCTTGGGGGGGGGGGGGGGGGGGGTGGGGGGGGGGGGGTGGGGGGGTGGGGGGGGGGGGGGGTGGACACTATATTTTATATGTAAATTATGTTCCTGACCCCCCCCCCCCCATAAAAAAACCCTGAAGGAAACGATGCATAATTCACAATCCAAAATCACTAGGCAGGAAAAAAAAAACCTGGCAATAACAAATTATCAAGATGTATTACACATGGATCCAACAGCATTTAATGGCAAGGGAATCAACCACTACAGAGGTGTAGTTGGAATGATGGGAAATGAACAGCAGTTCAGATCCCTGGCTATAATGCACTCTCTCCGCACATTGTTTGCATATAACAGCATTGAAAGTTAAAAGTGTTTATTGTGTTTCCTGTACAATTAAAGATGAAACAGCGGTTTCCTTTGGTTGACTATTACCTATACTAGGAGATTACTCAAATGAATTAAAAACTTTAAAAAATCAAACCTGTTTGTTTTTACAATTTAGATATTTGTATATAAGTCATAGTATACATACAACAGCACTGTTAATTTAATGACCCTATCTTAAGAACTAAATAAAAAAAAAATTTTTAGGTATATTAACAAAAAGAAGTATTCTATCATTTTTCTATTATAAATAGCACAGGTTAAAACCACAAAGAAACGACATATTAGGTAAAAATATGAGAACATACCCCGACAATCCACCACCTGTTGCGCCAACTTTAATATGTCAAGGCCTAGGAGATGGAAGCTGGCATCTGGTTCAAGTGAAGATTTCATCTCTTCAAAACTCATCCAACAACCATCTTCAGAGTCCTGTTGGTATTCAACATATTTTACACTTTACACTGCATGACACCTTTTTTACCCTCCAAAACCAACTTAGTTAAGACAAATTAAGTTAAATTAAATTTTTAATTAAGTTGAAACTAATTAAACATTTTATAAATATTTTTCTATTTAACACTTACATGTATGGTTTTTGAAGTAGTTGTGGCATAAAATGTTACAAAGAGATGTGACGGAGCATTCGTGAACCGAATAAACTGATTCCTTAATATACCTTTCAAATTTGATTTTTCACCAGTAATCTGTAAACATAAAATGGTTATGTAATTCATAATTAAAGAAGTTCAAAAATGTAAAATGTATTTACCAGGGATGTGACCAGACCATGGAAAAAAAATAGGAAAGTTTTTTCATACAAGAACTCAGTATATTTCATCAATATTTTATCACGGTTAAAGCATTTAGTGAATTATTTAATCAAATATGTAAAAATGTATACTAAGCGATCTTTTTTTATATTTATATATTTTAGTAAGTATGGCAAAACTGATCATATTATACATTCTCAGCTGACTACTGAACAGATTACAAAATATTTTAAAAAAGCATCGGCAGCATTAAAATGTTTACCCGTTCCACTAATTTCTGTGCTAAGCTCCTCAAAGTACAGTTATCCACCCTCTCTTCAAGGGGCATCCAAAGTCCTCTATCTTTAAGATCACTCAAGAAAAACTTTGCCTCTTCATTGGCTATTAATACACACACATATTCTTTCATGCCAAAATCTGTCATTTTGGTTGACTGTTCTGTAAGAATATATTGTATAAATATTATATAATGGAAAAATAAAGTGTGTGAAAGATGTCCTTTATCAGCATAACATTTTTATGAACAATAATAATGCCTGAAGCAAACTAAATTCAAGTCTGTAGATTCAGTAAATAACATGGAGTTCATGGACAAGATTTTTTTTTTTTTAATATTTGACTAATAATAAATTTACTACTTTTAAAAACTTGAGCCTTGTCTAAATGTATAGACAATTAAATGTAAAAATTTGTGTTTTACATTCAAAACATGATGCAGAGATGGAAAATGATAGTTTTTTTTTTTTAAACTGAACAAAACAAATCACAGGACGAAGCTATTAAATTAGTTAATGACCTCCCACTACCCCCTCCTCCCCTGTTGCCTCATAGAAAAGATCCTAGTTTTATAGTATCAATTATAGACAATTAAAATAGAACAACAAATGCTAATCTCAAAATCATGATTGTCTAACAGAGCTCCAACAATTAGTAAAACAAAATTAACAATAATCAATAAATACTGATCTTAACATTTACTGATAATCAGTTAACTTCATTATGTATGAATTGACAGAGTTCAATAACTAATAAAAACTGTATATTGCAATGGTCAGAATTATTTTCACTGTATTGAATTTAATTAACTTATATTTAAAACTTGCTATCTTGAACAAAACCATACTCATAGAAAAAAAAAAGCTATGTTAAAGCTTTTCAACCCCAAATAAATCACAAATAAGTGAACTTCATAATAAAAGTAAGAGTCATGATATGAGCCACAATTACTCAACAAGTGGGCTTACTGTAAATATTCTGCAATTATTTTCAAACAAAGAAATATCATTGATGAGAAAAGTACAAGTTTTACGACCTTAAATGTCTTATGAGTTCAACCATATTTTATCTTTCTAAATAATAGTTGGTATTTTAGCAAAATATGTTTAAAGTGTGATTTATTCACAATTTCTATTTAAGAAAGTTTTCATGGTTGATTATAGAGATCTTCCATACCACATTTCAATACAATATTATCCAGATTATCCAATGAAAGGATCATAAGACATTACAATACACTGACATGTGTTGTTTGACCTGTTTTGTACTAACATGATGATTCACCAGCCACTAGTGATTTCTTGATAAAGTGCAAGGTCAGATAGGGTTTATAAATGGTCAAGATGTGGTCAAGTTTATGGCATTATGTTGATTAAAACTACTGCATGCAATAGTTCATTTACAAATAATCAAATATTTAGTATTATTGGTAATCTATCGTTTTGGGTACGTAAAATCGCCCGCGGCTATTAATGTACGAAAACGTTACCTCATTGTCAAGGCTGTAATAGAAGTATATTGTGATATGTTTGTGTCAAATATTATAGATAAATGAATAATAAACCTAAATCAATGGCTAAATATATCAATATAGGCTAGAAAATAACTTTAAACAGCAGTGTCTGCAAGCAAGATTTGCTATATAAACAGCAGCCATTTGTAAAATAGAGTGACTTCCGCCTGAATCTCGCGCTATATGTCTATAAAAATAAAACTTTAACAAGATGGCTGCTATAGTAAATGAGCATGGTTGCATCTGTTGGAAACAACGCTAGTCTTCATTTATTACTGAAAAGTTTTAATTCAATTGTTTAAAAACAGGTACATAAATGAAACAAGGAAACATTTTTGTATTTTTCAAAACATAAATCCTCCTCAAAATGTGAAATAATTATTAAAATGTAAGGAGTCACCTGTTTTTCACATTACTAGTCGCGGCCGATTTTACGTACCTAAAACGATAGATTACCGTATTATAATTATTTAGGCCTACAGTAAGTTGCTTTTTTTTTAAGAACTTGAGACATTTTCTAAAGGTAATTTCAGTTACTAAAATTGTGTTTGTTTTTTGGGTAAAATCTTTAAACTTAATTTGGTCCCATCAGTTTCTCACAGACTTCAAAAATTCACAGACTTCAACTCTTTCTTACTCACTGCCTGCCTCCCTCCTTGCTTGCTTCGTCTTAGTAAAAGTCTTACAAACTTTTTGTATTAAGATTTTTAACGTCCTAGAGATATGTATTACCTTTTGAATTTTAAATCAGGAAGCAAAGTTATTTTCTATTTCATGTATTAACAGTGTGCTTAGTTACATCATTAAATTTTTGAATATTTAGACAATAACAATAAAAAACAAATTATGATTCTCCGTGGTTGCTTAGTCAGCGATGGAAAATCGGAAAGTTAACATCGTACTTTCTATACCGTATGTTATTTCCGGTTTAGCTTTTTTATGTTATAATAAAGGAAGTGAGAAGTTGGATACATTCAATCAAAGGGAGAGAAGTTAGTCCTAGCTTAGTACAAACCCTAATAAATGTCAGTATCTAAATGAACACTGTCCTGGAAATCTAGATAAACTCCTGAACTGATATCTTTGGATTTAAACGTTTAAGAGATGTAATAATTATCTGCTCACCTTTTAAAACTAGTGCAATTGATCTAAGTTTATTAAGATCGATGTACATTTCTAACCACCGAATCTAATCTAGACTCTAGACAAGACTTCACTAGACACTAGGTGACTAGAGACTCAGACTGACTAGACTTCTTAGAAATTCTAAGTTAGAATGTGAATTTAGTTATTTAGAATACTTAGTCTAGATCTAGATTTCTAGATCTAGATTCTAAGTCTTAACTTCTTAAGACTAGACCCTAGCTCGTGCCTAAAAATAAAATCTGAATAGTGAACAGGCCAAACTAAAATCTATTTCAGAGATTTCAGCATTTTTTCTGACTGTAGATTAGTCTTAGTGTAGATCTCACCAATCAAGATTTGAGATTTATTAAAAAATAAAAAGTTGAGAATAAGAATCTAGATCTAGTCTAGACTAGTCTACTCGCTTGTATAGGGTGGTGTTGTGGGCTGAGGTGTGAAGTGATGTCATTATAATATAATTATATTTTAATATTTTTGGTGGGAGGGGTGGCTTTGGAAAATTCTCAATTGCAAGGCAAGAAAAAATTGCAAGAAGGGTATGAAACCAGGGTGACATGACATTTTTGTCTCACATCTTACCCACACCTGATACTTAAGCTGGGTGGGGTAAAATGCGAAAATGTCTGCAAAAATCACCGCACCCGGTTTACAATGAACTTTGATGCAGACTTCAAAGATGGTTCATTTGTATTGTTATATTCTGATTTTCCAGTCAACGGGTGTGCTGTTGAATTATCAATTTCTTCTTCTTGTGTGGAACATGTAGCCGCCCGATATATCAATTTTGAACATCATTGTGCTTAAAGTCGCTGCCGCCACGAACATGTGTTGTTTTAATATTGTAATTTGTTGATAAGAAATTATTACTGCTGCCTACAATTACTACAATTTATTTTTTCATCATATAACTATTAATACAATTTATTTTTTTAAAATTTATATTTCTACGCTTTCTACAGATATGCCTCACATTTTCTTCTTGCAATTTACCACCTCACCATTTCAAGTCTCGCATTTTACCAACACCCGACAAAGGGGGGGGGGGGGGGGGGGGAGGAATCAAAAGTGACAAAAGTGTAAAAAAAAGTGTGATATTGTTCACAAATCACCCTGGCTTTTAGTAATAATTTTAATTCTAACTTATAAGTTTCACTTTAGAAGATTTACAATCTTATCTAGCTAGTAAAATTTTTTTGTAGATAATAGGTATTATAGTCCTGCTTACAAACCTTTACAAACCTTATATTCTTGCTTAAATTTAAATATATAATACTATTACTCGTAGACGTATAGGCCTAGGTAATTAGTAGTCTGTTTTATATTGAGGTTGATAGTTTACTTTTTGGCTTTAGGTATTACAGAATTGATTTCTAAGTTAAATTTACTTGGATTTCTTTCTTTCAAAATTATAATTTTAATTTTTGGCAGACTATGAATGCACAGTGGATGGAAAATATTCACTTCCAGCCCAGGGAAGGTTGGGTGGATTGCAATATTTTCTTTCCACTGCTTCTGCTTAAAATAGATATAGATCTAGACCTAATTATAGATGTATAATATTAATAAAGTGATTCCAGTTGAAAGGGAATACACAATCGTATTAATTAAAAGTGAAGAATGATTAATATTTTTTTCTATCCCCAGGATAGCATGGCATTATTTGTCTGGCGAGTGCAATAGGGTTAATCACTTAGGACTTAGAACCTATTTTCTGTATTGATCCTGTGAAATGGTATTTTCTTTTTGAATGAATAGAGAAATCAAGCATGATGGATGAAGAAAACCAGATTATAAAACCTCCAAAAGCACCATCATCATCACCACCCCCACCTCCACCTCTCCCACCGCCTATTATATGTGTTCAAGAAGCAGCTAGGACTGTGCATGTTAATGGTAATTATAAAATTTTCATTGCTTCAGCTTGATATGGACTTAGTAGTAAGCAAAATGCTACTTACAGAAGTTGGTACTTAAAAAATTGTAGTGGGTCTACATTCAACATGTCAAATTTTTCAAGTCATGAAAAATAAAATGATACAACTTAGTAAACATTGAATTATTAATTAAATTTTTACTTTTTTAGTAATTGCTTTGACTTGAGTTCATTATATAAATATAATTTAATATACATTGTTTAAATAACAGTTTAGTGGTATTTTAGTTTTAGCAATAATTAATTTTTAACTTATGTTTTCAGAAAACTCACAAATAATTTTTAGTCTTACTCAAGCTCTGGAGGAAGACTCTCTAGGGAAGATGGCCTCATTGATTGAAGAGCAAGGCGTTGATGTCAATTCTACACTTTCCTTTGGTGTTTGTATTCTCCTAAAAGCCATCAGAAGCCGCTCTACAAAAATAGTAGATTATTTAATAGAGAGGGGTGCGGATCCTGAATCTTCTATCCGGGATTTGATGAAGCGACCTTATGGCTTGGAAGTAGAATATAGTGTTTATTTCAAGCGCTATGATCAGTGGTGTGTGGACACCTTAAAGAAACTGCTACCCAGAGTCAAAGACAGGCTTCAAACTATCATAGACCCAGAGGGTAGAACTCTGTTGCACTTAGCATGTTATTTCCCAGATTTGACTATATTCGAGTACCTGCTCCACCAAGGCCTGAACCCCAACGTCAAGGACAACAGGGGATCAAGTGTACTAAGCCTGCTGATCTCTCACCATGATACAAAGTCAGCGTATGAAATGATTCAGCTTGTTTTGAATTTACCAAACACAGAGGTAGATATAAGAAATGATTTTGGTTCTACGCCACTTTACCAGAGTTTTTTAATGAACCGGTTGGATTTCTTTTACCTCTTGCTACGCAAAGGAGCAGATCCTTTCATGCGTACTAGCTCAGGGAATACTTTGATGCACTGTCCATTTCTTCATGCATATAAATATCTGATTTTATATGATCTCGGTCTAAACATGAATGTTAAGAATAATTCTGGGCTTCGGCCCTTACAGAATAAAGCAGAGCTTAACTTTGATTTCTTTATTTTGATTCTGTTAGGAAGAGAGGTCCTTGCTGAAGAATACTCTAAAATGGAGAAGACGTTTGAGCCAAGGGTTGTCCTTAGAATAAAAGAAAAGGTAGAGAGGGGGGATTTTTCAGCTATACGACTGCAAGCTCTATGTAGGCAAACAATTAGGAGCACATTATTTAAGGTAGATCACAGTGGTGTAACTGATAGCATCTGGCTTCTTCCCCTGCCGAAACCATTACGCTTGTATTTAGATGTAACTCTGTATGCCCAGCATTTGTTTGAGGCCTTGAGTCGGTAGTACTCATGAGGTGGGTTGTTTTTTTTCTCGGGAGAAGTTGCAATCTAGTCTGCATTCGTCTGGTATGGTTTTTGCTTTTATAATTTTAAAGTAGTCACCATGCTAAGCTCATTGTACATTTGCCTTTATGCAAATAAGGCATTTATAATTTATTTATTTATTTGTACAGTACTTCTTTTATGTTTATATGTTATTTAGAAGACAGACGTGCTCATTTTTGTTCTGTTCTAGTCAAATTATAAATGTGAAACTAAATAAAAACATGACAAGCAGATAATGATTTTTAAAAATAATTACTCTTAAACCCAAAAGTCAGTAAAAAAAATAAAGAAGTAGAACTCTTCTGTTTCTGGGGGTCACTGACATTGTACCTAATTCCTTACATTTACCACCTGAAATAAGGTTGTTAGGATTTGTGCTGAAATTCCCAATGAGTTAGGCTGTACTTAAGTTGCTCCCATAAACTGTGGTTTCGATGATGTTTAAACACATAAAGGCAAGACCAAGTGGTCATATTCACACTAGTCTTGTATGTAGAATTCCTTATGTCAAACTAGAAATGATGGGTTTCTTAATCATAATTTTTAAAAATAAAGGTGCCTATGTAATGTGCTAACCACAACGCCACCGTAGGCCAAAGAAAACTAGTAAACGAAAACAAAATCTATGCATCTTTTCCATAGGTTTTGCTATTTATTTATTATTTTTTTGGAAATCTTGTTATACAGTAAATTTGTTAGGAAAATAGACTTCATCTTTCATTCTTAAATTACAATTAAGAGCTTTTAAAGTATGAGAGATCTTTCAACAATTATTCATTTCTGATCCATAGATCTAAGATTAAGATATATTTATAATCATTTCACCCAACTGTCAATCTCAGGAAATTAGTTATTAAAATATGTATTTATATAATTTACAAACACTTGTTCTAAGTGCTCCACCTCACAATGACCAGTATTTAGGAGACAAAAGAATTTGGAATATTAAAAAAAATGTATCAGTTTTATCCCATCCAGCCTGACAAAACAAAATTTATTCATGTGCTTTTTTGTTAATAATAAAATGGTTGTGGATATTTGCTTTAAAATTTGGCTCTTTATTTACTGTTCGAAAGTGTTTATATGCTGCTTGTCTGTGGGATTGTGTGGCCAGATGTACAACTTGATTGCTACCCAAAAGTCTTGAGTTCAGATCCTGGGTTAGCCTGAAGGATGTCCCTGAGTTTACCCAACTCTAATGAGTATCTGACATAGCCTAAAGTTATCCCTTAATATGCAGAGGTTTCAGAAACAGGTGAGCTCTACCTCATCTGCCCTATGCACAACTAGCTTTGAAAGGATACCATTACTTTTACTTTTTGCCAACCGGTTGTCAAAGTCAGTCCTTTGTTTTTATAATATTGATAATAAATCTCTATTTCCATTATGTTTGGTCTAAATGTACACTTGTTTTTTAGAAGGGTTAGTGACTTGGGACTCCTGTATGATCTAAAGCAATGAAATATAATAAGGTAATGCTTCATTATTATTGTACACTTTTGAAAACAAGCTTTCCATCTATTGAGCACAAAATAATGCTGCTTCCTAAATTTTAAGTATGGGATGTGTGGCCTAACCAGTAGAGCGCTAGGCTGCTAACCTGAAAGTCTATGGTTTAAGCCAGTAGAACCTACCTGAGTTCACCCAGCTCTGATGGGTACTTAACTTGTATTAGGGTAAGTAAAGGTGGCTGGGAAAAGTGCTGACCACTTCATATGCCATAGTCAAGAAACATGAACTCGACTTCATCTGCCCAATGGATCGCTAGTTTTGAGTAAAAATTTTTGCTGGTGACTGTTTTGACTTGAAAGATTACTGTCAATTATCTAAATGAAATTAATAGCCTACTCAGTCTTTCTTTACAAGAATGAGAAAAAGTTTTAAAAACAATCTTTAATATCGCCTCTATAAATAACATAAAGACATCAATTCAATTTCAAGTTTACAAATACAACTTCCTAATACGAAAAGACGATCTCTCATTTATAATCTGTATATTTATTTGCCTGACCATATGCTTTCTCTACTGGATACTTTTTAGCATTTGCCTCCATCTTTTTCACAACAGCAGTTGGAAGGTCAATGTGACACCTGCTTGCAAAGTCTATAAGGTAGATGAGTATATCACTCAACTCCTCACCAACATGGACCTTTTCTTCTTCACTTAATTCTGAAACAATTAACAGAAAAAAAATAACTTTTCTTATCATCTTTAAAAACTTTGAAATTTTTTTTTTAAATGACTATTAATTTTAACATTTCAAAAATAAATAACAGGAATTCCTTTAAGGAAAGATAGATTAAAACAGTTAAACCATAATACTGATGTCGAATTCACAAATTATGAATTGTTGATAAGTAGAAAATAAAAAAGCTAGATAGCGGCGTATGCTATGTCACGGGCCAGCTCATACAAATAATTTAAATTAAATTAATATGCTTACCTGGTAAACCTTGAGTTACTTCCCCTTTCCATTGGCTGTGAGAAATGAAATTATTTATTTTAAAATTTATTGTAATTTGAAAACATGATACTATTTAGCAATTACGGGCTTGAATTCAAAAAGAGCTCACAAAATCTCAGCTAATTCTCCAACTTCTCCAACCATGGCTAAGAGGACGTTTCGAGGGCTGTGAAATTTATCCCAGTCTCTTTCTTTTATAAACTTTTCATTTAGCTTCCTTCTGAAAATTAAAATTTACAAATATGTATTTGATATGCCTTTGGTAAGAGTACAGTGTACATAATTTAAGACACCTTGTAATTTTTAAAATGATAAATCAGACTTTAATTATCCATAAAAATAATTATAATATGATTTCAAATACACTGTTGCATAGTCAGGAGTTTGTCACAAAGGGGCACTAACTCATATATTAATTCAAATACCTATTCACTTCCATCAACAACTGAACAAATAAAAAAATAAATATCTTACAAACTTTCCAAACTCATGTCTGTAAAACAGAAGCCTTCATTTCTGTTATCTTTACTCTCGCCACTTCCTGGTTCACTTGATGTTTCATTTGTTTGTTTGTTAACATTGGTTACTTCTTCCATTGAAAAGCTGAAACTAAACAAATGTAAATACTAGATCTAAATAGTAGGCCTAAATGAATAACAAATTTGTTAAGATTACATCAAAAAAATAATCTAAATTAAATAATACGCTTAATATAATTAGAATATAAGATTAATGATTTAAAAAATGATTAAGGATGTAGGCCTATATTTTGTTAATGCATTTAATTTTATTTTTAAAGGGCCTGTATGATTTTATTATTAGTATTTATATCCAGTGGCGTCACTAAGCCAGTTATCACCTGGTGCAGTACCTGGCCTAAAAAAGTCACCCCTGCCCGCCCAAAAAGAAATTGCTGTCAACTTTTCCCATTTGCCTAATGGCATCAATTTATGCATTCAATGCACATATTAATTCATGTGCAAAAAGCATCGTTTTTATCTTAAATGTGTCTCCAGTCATTGATTCAAAATACTCAACAAAGCCTTTTTTTCCTCTGCAAATTTTGCAATAGTGTCAGCCCCCCCCCCCTTCCCCCCATGTGATAATTTAAATTTTATAATACTAAAGTTGTTTATGTAATAATATGTAGAGTCAGTTATGCATAGTGGATTAACTCTAGTTAATCATTAACTGAACTGGAAAAAGCATATTTCTTCTATATAGGGCCGATTTGTCGTTTTTTGCCATAGTGTCACCCCCCTCCCCCCCCCCCCCCCCCCATTATATATTAGTTACTTATCTTAAGTCGACTAAACTTAAGTTATCTAGGAAGGTCTAGTTCAAAGATTTAATTTTAAAGTAAAGATAACTTTTACAACTCAGATCAGATTCTACTTCAGAACAGGCAGAACTCAGTCAGTTAGTCAGTCAAGTGAGTGACAGTTCGAGTGTGAGTGGGTGGAGACCGTGAATCGTGATGTAGTCTGTTGTATCTGTAGCGAGAGGTGTAGGCCTAACCTAAGCATCACATGTAGATCTAGATCTAGATCTTGATTTAAATATAGATTAGATCTATAATAATAAGTCTATGGTGGTCATTCTCTTCTTGTCAGATTTACAGTATTAATTTACTAGAGAGAATAGCCCTCTTACTGTTTCCCTTCCTTAGCTTAGCGGCTAGCACCTAAAAACATGCCATTAGACTTTTGAATTTGTTTTGTTTACATCGGAAACGGTACGTCACCGGAAATCGACCGCCGCAAAGAGTTAAATAGTAAAATTAAAATACTTAGCCTAAAGAGATGCTCAGATAAATGAGGTCACACTCGTAGGAGGACGAGGTCCGTAATTTTAGTGACGGTGTGTGATAAAGTGGAGGGGGTGGTGTTCAGATGGTGTAACCTCACACTTTTGCATTATAAAAAATCAATGTCAGAACGCTTTTAAGACGATACCTCCCCCGCTCCCCTCCTTTCACACATCCTCACAAAAAGCCAGACCCCACCTCCCCCCACCCCCCCACCCCCCCTAAAAGTCCCCTCAAAAGTGCAGTTGAATTTTTCTTAAAAAATTGATATTTTTTTCCAAAACTGAACTCGGTCAACATAGAGTATTTTAATAAATTTTTATTACAATATATTATAACATTTTTCTAAAAGGCTAAATAACAGCTACAATTCGTTTTCTAACATTGCTATTTTATGATGCAAAAGTGTGACGTCATGCCTTCTGAACATTCCCTCTTATCACACACCGGCACAAAATTACGGACCCCCCCCCCCCCTACGAGTGTAATGTCATTTATGGACGACCCCAAGTAGGCGCCACAGACCATAGTAGTAATAGTATTATTATCATAGGCCCATATTTATACAATCAATTAATTAACCGGTGAGTATTAATAGGCCTTTAGAGTGTCAGGTGGGTTACAAACAACAACACCCCTCCTCTCGCCTCATTGCAGTGTTTCTTCCAGGCATCTCTTCGCATCACCCCCCGAAGCACGTCTACCGCCTCTCCTAATCCCCCCCCCCCCCCCCCCCCAAAAAAAAAAAAAAAAAAAAAAAAAAAAAAAAAAAAAAAAACGAAACAAAATTTTTATAGAAAATGAGACAACGCTGGGATGACATGAGAGAAGAGTTTCTTGCGGGCATCTTTTCGGGGGTGGGGAGTTCCCCGAAAAATGTCTACCTTCCCCCCTATTCATTGGGCAGATGAAGTAGAGTTCATATGTTTCTTGACCTCAGCCTATGAACAGTTTCTTCCAGGCATCTCTTCGGAAAATGTTGACCGCCACCCCCCCCCCCCCCAAATATCAAGTGCCCCCTCCCCCCCCCCCCCCCCCCACACCGGAGAAAAAAGTCTGGAAGAAACACTGCATATGAAGGGAGGGTGTGGTTAGCACTTTGCCCTGCTACCTTTACGTTCCCTAACACGAGTTAGGGTGGACTCCGGGACTTTCTACTGAACTCGAGACTTTCGGTTTAGCAGCCTAGCTCTACCCCGTCCCTTCTATCTCACTAGGCCTACTAAGAATAACTTTCTCTCTTGTGTTCCGTGGCATGCTATAATCTTGGAGAATATGTATGCTTTGGAGAGAAAACAGGACGTTAGTCCTAACATTTTAAGAGTGGACCTATAATTGCACAAAAATACATAGCTAGATATTTGCTAATAATATTTGGTAATCGATATTATAAATGACTACAAAAAGGGTTGGCATGTTGAGGTTGGTAAACAGTGTTTCTTCCAGACTTTTTTTCTTTGAGGGGGGAACGGGACACTGATAAAAGTATGTTTTCTATATAAATTCCATTTAGTTCGGGGGTACGGGGGGGGGGGGGAGGCGGTAGACTTTCCTCGAGGGAAGATGCCGGGAAGAAACTCTGTTGGTAAAGCTCATGGTTGTTAGGGGTCATCCATAAATGACGTCACGCTTTTTTTTTTTGACGATTTTTACCTCCCCCGCCCCTCTCCTCCGTCACGCGTCGTCACAAAGAGCCAGACCTCCCCCCTAAAATGACGTCACACCTCAACCTACAACCCCCCCCCCCCCACTCAAAATTGCAGTTGAATTTTTTTTAAACATCGATATTTTTCCAAAATCTTGTCTAAACTATTACAATTTATTAAAACAGTTATCTAAAACGCGAAATAACGTCTAAAATTCGTTTTCTAACATTGCTTTGTTATAATGCAAAAATGTGACGTCGCAACATCTGATTTCCCCCCCCCTCCCCCTCATCACACATCGTCACAAAATTACGGACCCCCCCCTGCCCCCTACGAGTGTGACGTCCTTTATGGATGACCCCTTACAGCAAAAGGCCCCGCGTCCGAACCCCCAGGCAGATGAGGCTTGATAGATATAGATGGGAGCAGTGCCATCCAGGAAAGAAATCTCATTGGGATTATTAGGATTTTTAAAAACAAGCTCGAACGATTTTGTAATTCGTTTTCTTTTCCAGGAATTTTTTTTTTAAATGTTAAAATCTAATCTACTGTACTAGTATCTCCCTTTTCTTCACTGTGTTTTAGTTTAGTTAAATGTTTATAAAAATTTGGTAATTTCAACATATTGTTATATAGTCTAACAATTTTAATTCGTATGAATATGTATTTTTAAATCTTGAAAACAAACTCACATTAAAGCAATATAAATACATTTTATTGAATAATATAACAACAAATTAAATAACTTTAAATACTTAACATTAAGATAACTTTTAAACTGGTAATTGAAAACACTTTTGTGTCAAATTCTACACCTATTTAAATAGCTCTCATTATAGAAACATTTTAAATCAATATATATTTAGTGGAACTTTACCAAGAAATATTGAAATTAATTAAACATACTGAACTATTTAATAACATGAAGCTGGTAATAAATTAGCTTACTTCTATACTACTGCAGCGATGTAAAAACGAAGAACATTATGAAGTTACACAAGTAGCCTATAGTTGATGTCTTGTTTCTTAACTGAATTGTCTTGAAAAATTTAGCTGAACAGCTATGAACAGTGTTTCTTCAAGACTTTTTTCTCGAGGGGGGGGGGGGGGGGGGTAGACTTGAAATTTTCGAGGAGGGGGGGGGGGGGCGGCGGACACTGTCAAAAGTATATATTTTCTATATAAATTCCATTTCGTTCGTTGAAACAGTAACATTAGGTCTCAATAGAAACACTATGGTTCCATAAGGAAAATTTATACCAAGTTTTAAATAATTTCCATTATGGGTTCTGATGATTGTTTACAATAAGTTTAGAAATGTATAAAAATATTGGTGAATTGATTTTTAGAAAAGTTTTGGCATACATATACCCATACATAATAAATTTTATTAAATCTGTAAAATAATTATTACTATTGTAAACATTTGACATAAATATGTCTAATAGTTATGTGTGGTAAATTAATTGGTTTCTTTCCCTTAGTCTGGGTGATACTGCCCCCTTAAAGATAACATTAAGATTATATGAAGGCAGTGGACATATGAAAATATGAGACAGCAGTGATATGAATGAACACTTCAGAAATGGAAAACAGAACTTTATGACCAATATTTTTTTTAAAAAAGACATTTTTTAGATTTTTGAAATTCAATTTTTCAAATATATGACATTTAAAAAAATATTTGTGTCATATATCCTAACAGTAAGAGTAATGTTATGGTGATACTATACATATTATGGTGATACTATGGTGATAAGAAATAAAACTAAATTTAACCATATACTAATAAATGTATAGCAAAAACCACCAGTCTTTATTCTGGTTTGATCACAATGCCAATTTTGTCCGGCTAGAAAATGCATAGTTTTGCAATTGAGGCTTGCAGTTATCACTGTAAAAACTATCAGTAACATATATGAACATTTGATAATTAGTAAACTAAGCAGTTTTAAAATAAATTATATATACATTTAGAAATTAAAGACGTTAAATTTATTTATACTCACATACAGTTAAAATGAAAACACAACAAAAATCTAGATCACTATAGCATTACAATAGAACTGTATGAGGACAGTTCTTTAAGCTTATATATACACAAAACTCTTTTAACAATAATTACTTTAAAAAACTAATTAATATGTATTGTTTTAAATTAATATGCTGCTGTGTATATTTAAAAAAAAATTATCTCCCCTTGTATAAAATTAACTCCCATAGTTCAGTCTTTGTAAATGTAGAGTTTGATTCATGAAAGCTTCACATGGTAATCAAAGCATACTGTTTGTATTATAAAACACCTATACATCTGAATATCCATTCAACGGCCCGTTCATATTAAAATCGACTTTACGATTTGAAAAATTGAGTAGCAAATCCCCAGAATATAAAGACTGGTCATCTAGTGACCGGTGAAGAGGTTTAGGGATGTAGACTTGTGAAGCGCCAGGGTCATACTTCTCTTCAGCAGTCCCTCCCTGGCCAGGATACTGACCGAAATTCATCCTCCTCTCCTCGTTAAACCCTAATCCGTTTGGATAATTTTTGGATTTAAAGTCATATCCTGCAGGAGTGGAGGATAATTTAGTCGTGGTTGTCGTGTAGTCCAGGTAATTATTATTACTGACAGGTTCACGGATAACCTGGGCGGAGGTGAATTTTCTAGCTTTCAGCTCAACGCTGGTTTTGAACCATTTTTTGTTGTCCTTTTTGTTAAAATCCAAATAGCTGACGTATCTCTCCTCCAGTGTTTTAGGGTTGTTGTACGTTGTCACGGCGTAACTTTTTGGTTTGACCCTGGCCTCGTAGAAAGTCCGGCTGACGAAACGTTTTTTGGTGCTGTTTAGATAGATGAAAGCTGTGTCGGAGAATCTGACAGGGTGAAGGACAGGGCCAAAGTTCACTTCCTCCTTGTGACGTCTGGAATTTAATGAGATAAAAAAAATTGTAAAACTTGTTACTGTATTGTTTAATTTTCATTAGTATATTGATCTATTAAGTACATATTTAAAATTTTAATGGCTTAATTTTTATAGAAAAATATTGATTGTAATTTATGTCTAGAATAGATTTAATAAATAAGGTGTGTAAGTAAGCTTTAAATATTAATAACCATAACCTACCAAGTATCGTAAAATATTTTGTAATTTATTTCTGAAAATCTATTAACAAAATCCCCTGCTTCTGGCATCTAGGCCATACTTGTTACTATATTTAACCTACATGACCTAAAAGCTAATATGGTCTATCTTGTAGATACAGCCACTGTTAATCTATTGAATCATCACAAGCCATCATTAATGTAGCTTATTTAGACAAATCAATTAACTGTAAAGTAGCATTAATTTACTCATTAGTTAGCCATGTAATCTACCTTTAAGGTATTTATAAAAGTAAAGTAAGTAAAATTCCCTTTCAAACCTGACAATCCATGGGGCAAGTGAAGAAGAGTTCACTTGTTTCAGTGACCTCGGCATATGAAGAGATAGTGTAGTCAGCACTATGCCCAGCCGCCTTTACTTTCCCTAACGTGAGTGAGGTACCCATCAGAGTTGGGTAGACTCGGGGACAGTCTACTGACTAGAACCCGGATTCGAACTCGAGACTTACGGGTTTGTAGTCCAGTTCTCTATGCTACGACCATCTTTTAATTTTCCTTTTAATCAGCCCAGACCCATCTTTCATATCTACCTTTAATTAAACTAACCCACCAATTATCCACCATATGTTGGTCATAATCTACCTATGAACCTAGACTGACATACCTGTGGTCAGAAAATTCCACCTGGCTGTACACTGAAGTCTCAGTTAAATTTGGCTTGGGGACAACAGCCACAGTTTCGGCTACCCTATCAATGGACACCACCATTTTGGACAATTCCTGTTCAAAATTGTTTGCAGGAAAAATTCCTAAATACTTCTGGAACTTTCTTGATTTGGAGTCCTTTGAAAGATAAAAATAAATTAAGAAATTTAAAGTTATTTTAATAGAAATAACATGCTTTTAAAGTTGATTAAGATAATTAAGATAATTATTTTTAAAAAATATTTTGTCTGTTTTAGGGGTCATCCATAAATGTCGTCACGCTTTTTTTGGACGATTTTTACATCCCCCCCCCCGTCACACATCGCCACAAAAAGCCAGCCCCCCCCCCCCCTAAAAGGACGTCACACCTCAGCCTACAACCCCCCCCCCTCAAAATTGCCTTTCAATTTTTCTTAAAACATCGATATTTTTCCGAAATCTTGTCTGAACATAGAGTATTTAATCAGCTCCTATTAAAATTTATTAAAACAGTTTTCTAAAACGCGAAATAATGGCTAAAACTCGTTTTCTAACATTGCTTTTTCATAATACAAAAGTGTGACGTCACACCATCTGATTCCCCCCCCCCCCTCATCACACACCGTCACAAAATTACGGACCCCCCTATGAGTGTGACGTCATTTATGGACGACCCCTTAGCTTTATGAAAACGGCCTGGTAGCTTAGACTTAGACCATTATATTCCTCTTAGCAAAAACTATTGCGTATACAAGATAAAGTGAATTATTGTTAGAGTGATACAAATAAATTACACGTCTAGTATTACAAGAAAGCAAACCAAACGAGCGGTACCAGTAGTCCCCTACCACGAAGCCAACTGTGTGTAATTATCTCCCATTTCTACAACATTAAGTGACTGCTCATTCCTCAACATGTTTGTTACGCAAAACCTACTAAGTTTTTTTTAATGGTTATCTCCCCTTCATCATAGTACAGTGACCGAATGCTAACTAGACTATATTCAAACTTGAGTAGAATTTCCGCGGCTATAAATAATTTTTCTATAAATTATATTTTGTTGGGGAGGGGAATGGGGGGGGGGGGGGAGCGAGATGGTAGATTTAAAACTATACAGATGAAAAACAACTTAAAACGTAGCCCAGTTCGTATTTCCCGCACCTAGGAGCCGTATATACACCTACACCCTACGAAAATTTATTCAAACAGGTTTTTGAAGAAGTAACACTTATGGCCAAACAAATAAAAACGTTGAACTCTTGTACCGAAACAAATTCTATAAACCTTGTACGTTGATGGTTGTATAGGTGAATAAGAGTTTATATTTAGATGAAAAGTTAAACGGGTCCACGCCCAGATACTCAGCAAATTATAAACAAAGAATAAAGGTCAGATCGACCTTTTTTCTTTTCGAAACCGCTCTAGATAAGTGTTTGCTAGCCACGTTGTTTTTTCAGGTGGTCGAAAAGAAATTATTCACAGGTAACCGGTTAATTAAATTCATCTATTAAACTTATTTTTTAAATAGTCTCAGTATAGATTCTATATTATATGGAATAGAATCCAAGGCGTAGTCTGGAAATTTGGTCAGGGAAATTGATGTTGTGATCTGATAATATTGTCCCATGTTGTCATGGAGTGTGGTCTTATGTTGTGGTCTGCTAATGTGGTCCTATGTTGTGGTCTGCTAATATGGTCCTATGTTGTGGTCTGGTAATGTGGTCCTATGTTGTGGTCTGGTAATGTGGTCGTATGTTGTGGTCTGGTAATGTAGTCTTATGTTGTGGTCTGGTAATGTGGTCCTATGTTGTGGTCTGGTAATGTGGTCCTATGTTGTGGTCTGGTAATGTGGTCCTATGTTGTGGTCTGGTAATGTGGTCCTATGTTGTGGTCCTATGTTGTGGTCTGGTAATGTGGTCCTATGTTGTGGTCTGGTAATGTGGTCCTATGTTGTGGTCTGGTAATGTGGTCCTATGTTGTGGTCTGGTAATGTGGTCCTATGTTGTGGTCTGGTAATGTGGTCCTATGTTGTGGTCCTATGTTGTGGTCCGGTAACGTGGTCCTATTTTCGGTCTGGGTATGTGGTTCTGTGTTGTTAAATTAAGTATGATTTTTTAAAAAAATGTTTGGGAGCACTATTCTAGTCTATCGAATCGAACACGAAGCCTTATCATCCATTTAAAAAAACAACAACCGATTTTTTAAGAAAAATTCACCACTTGAGGAAAATAACAGTAAGCCTAATCTAATACTTGTATTGACATGCTTGAACGATCACGTTTTAACTTCCTTCACCACTGTCACGATATACATCCCTAGTGAACAAGCGTTTAGTTTTTGAATAACAAGGTAAAGAATAGACCAAAATGGGTTTACGTGAAATGCAATCTAATACTTACAACTCTACATATAGTCTTTAGTTGTTAGTAGATTCATGTCAATTCTTAACATATAAATAGCGAAACCTAACCATGACAAGTTCACGTTAGTCAAACATTCGGTTGTTTGGCCGAGTCTGTAGGACGTGTCTGAGCCCACTCAGCTTTAATAGGTACCCGACCCGAGGTAATCAGTGATGGAGTGATGGTAGTGAAACATCTGTAATGTTATATTTCATTATTAAAGTAACACTTGCAAAAAGTATAAAAGACGGGGATTTTTTTAAAAAAAAAAAAGGTTCTTTATGACAGGATGGCATTTTCCCCGATCCCCCCCTCCCCCAACCTTCCTATCCTACCACTGGCTACGTACTGTATCAGTTGCAAGGACTGACTAAGTCCTTCAGTCCATGATAACTAAACTTCACCAGGCCTTACATCACTCTCACCCACGTTATCTCAACTCAGATGGTAAACTTTAACTACAGCTGTCATAGAACTGAAGACGTAGCTTGTATGTCACTCTCGAGGTGCACCAGATGGACCCCTTGAGATAAGCAGATCTAAGAGCTACCAACAGACAAGACAGGAGATACAGTCTCTGATGGTTACAGTCAGCGGCCAGTTCTGGTTTGTGTAGGTTCACGGCAAGGTTTCATAACGGGCTTTAGGCTCCAGTACTTTCACAAATTGGCTCCTACTTTCTAGTGTTACGAGAAAGTCAACAAGCGCTATCAGTAGTCTCCCTGTCACTAAGCCAACAGTTTATAATTATCCCCAATTTTTACAAGATGAAGTAGCTTCTCATTCATCAAAATGTTTATGGTTTTTGAAGGTTTACGGCAATTTGCACATAAAGTTACATTACAAGAAAGCAAAATCAACTTGCAGTATCAGTAGTCCCCTACCACTAAGCTAACAGTTTACAATTATCTTACATGAAGTAGCTTCTCATTCATCAACATGTTTATGGTTTTTGTAGGTTTACGGCCGCGTCTCATAACGGACTTCATAGTTAAGTACTTTCACAAAATTTCCACATAAAGTTACATTACAAGAAAGCATAATCATTTCTCATTGATCAACATATTTATAGTTTTTGTAGGTTTACGACAACGTTTTTTTTAAATGTGATTTAACGGTCGAGTACTTTCACAAAGATGGCGTTTGGAAGCCAAATACATTGTGTTGTTTCTGATACGGTCCTTTAGTAGTCTGATCAGACGTGTAACCACTACGACCAATAAGCTAAGTAATCCCATCAGAATATAATGACCTGTAATATATCCCTACGCCTGAATGCACGAGTATAACGATTAAAGATGCTATAATTTTTATTTTGAAGGACATTTTACGGTAACCAACAACTTCCTCTTCCACCCCCCCCCCCCTCTCAATCGTGTGAAGTGTCCCATTCAAAACTTCTTCACATCCTAGTCAACAAAATCATCCATTGAGATTATTGTGGTTTACGTTTTTCTTTACTTAGGGCTATATACTTGACGTACGTTGCTTAGGGCCGACCTATCCCAACCTTTCTTGAGACCATCATACAACCATCGTTTATCTGATGACATTGCTAACAATTTGATTTCTTATTTAGAATGTGTAGTATGAAGAGATGACACAATTGGTATAATTTTTCGGTTTTTCTTGGTGATGTTCTTACTGTGTGTGGTACCAAAATACTAACACATACTTGGGGACAGTGCCTAGTCCAGTGGTTCTTTTAACCTGTGTTCGATCGTACCCCAGGGGTTCGGCGGGGTCAAGACACACCACTGACTCAAATGCAGAGTTTCTTCCAGGCTTTGCCCCCCCCCCCCCGAAAAAAAGTCTACCCCCCCCCCGAACGAAATGAAATTTATACAGAAAATACATACTTTTAACAGTGTCCGCCCCCCACCCAAGAAGGTCTACCCTCCCCCCCCCCCGAAAATTTCAAGTGCCCCCTCGGAGAAAAAAGTCTGGAAGAAACACTGCTCAAATGATTTGGTCAGTGCGAACTATTAACAAGGGTCAATATATGCGCATATGAAAACTGGTGGACTTCGATACCTCCAAAAAGTTAGGACCACTGCCCTAGATGAAATTCTTTTTCGAGAGTGTGTTTTATTCTAATCCACATTACACTACGCACCAAACACTTTAAATAACACGTTAGTATAATATTTCTCGTTCGGTCTAAGCTAATACTTTGTGTCAACAGTCACACAAATATGGTCTCAAGTTTATGAAAATCCCATCTCATTACTGTCAAGCAGATAAGAAACATGTTCTTAATTAAAGACAGGGGCGTAGCGAGGGAGGGGGGTGCGGACCGCACCGGGTGACACCATTTAGGGGGGTGACACCAAGGCAAAAAGTAGCAAAAGACATAGAGAAAAACTTGAGGGGGGGGGGTGCAAATCGAAAGTTTGAGGGGGGGGTGCAAATCGAAAATTTGAAAGTGTGTCCCCGGGAAGGGTCGCTACGCCTCTGGGGGGTGACACCATTAAGTGCCGCACCGGGTGATACACGACCTCGCTACGCCACTGATTAAAGGTATGTTTTAAAACGTTATTTAATTTCAATTAGTCTCGACCCTTATATAGGTCACTATTTGGTGCTTCCGTAGTCCAACTCCCAATCACAATTACGAATCAGATGTAAAATTTTGATCGAAGTTCGTGCAAAAATACGGATAAGAAATTATATTGATCTAAAACCATCCTGCGTGACGTTATCGATTTTACATAACCAGCAAGATCGATCATACCTTGAACAGAACTGGTGTTGCTA